ATCAGCTCCAGGAAGATCAAAGAAGGTCTAAAGTTACCTGTGAGTACTGTTACAATTAGAAGACGCCTATGAGAAGCCAAGCTATCTGCAAGAAGCCCCCGCAAAGTCCCACTGTTGAAAAAAAGACGTGCTGAAGAGGTTACAATTTGCCAAAGAGCACATTTACTGGCCTAAAGAGAAATGGCGCAACATTTTGTGGACTGATGAAAGTAAGATTGTTCTTTTTGGGTCTAGTGGCCGGAGACAGTTTATCAGACGACCCCCAAACACTGAATTCAAGCCACAGTACACTGTGAAGACAGTGAAGCATGGTTGCGCAAGCATCATGATATGGGGATGTTTCTCATACTATGGTGTTGGGCCTATTTATCGCATACCAGGGATCATGGATCAGTTTGAATACATCAGAATACTTGAAGAGGTCATGCTGCCTTATGCTGAACAGGAAATGCCCTTGAAATGGGTGTTCCAACAAGACAACGACCCCCAAACACACCATTAAACGTGCAACAAACGTGTGGGGTGACATCAAAAATGCAGTTTCTCAGGCAAAACCAAGAAATAGAGAACTGTGGAATGTAGTCCAATCATCCTGGGCTGGAATACCTGTTCACAGGTGCCAGAAGTTGGTTGACTCCATGCAACACAGATGTACAGCAGTTCTCAGAAACCAGTGCTTATACAACTAAATATTAATTGATTCAAAGGAAAGCTAAATTTTCAAACATTTTTCAGTTTATATAGTGAATGTTTGAGTTTGTAAAGAATACAAACACTGCTATTTTTTTGAACCGTCTAATATTCACTTTTCTTCATTTTTTTTAGAGGAACAACACATATGATATATTTTTCTTCATGTTTTGATTTGGAATAGAATGTGTAGTGTTCCCAATGCATATGTGTGTATGGAAATAAAAGCTATTAGAAGGATTTTGAGCTTTATTCACTTTTTTCAACACACTGCTATTATTTTGAACACAACTGTATATGTCAGTCCAGTCCTCAGATTTACATAGACTCTCTCAGATAGCACAGCTCTGCCTGACAGGGCAGGAGACCTGATTTTAATTTACTGTGGTTTAGTGACCCATAAAGGTCCTGTTCCTCCTCCAGCATGTACCTGGGCAGTAAAAGGAGAAGCAGCACATTGATGAACTCACCTCTGTTGCTCTCCCTCTCTTCTCCTATCAGAACACTGGAGCACAACAGATTGGCTGTTTGTGTGACATTTCATTCTTCTAACCCAGAGCTCTGCTGTACAGTCACCGCAAGAGGCAGATGCCAAGTCAAATTCAGATACTTGCTTTGCTTGTATTAAAATAAATACATTTAGTGATGTGAATATAGAGCTGGATTAATGTGTGCTCTTTTACATTTGTCTGCAGTTCAGCTTAAAAGGAAAAAAAATACTAATTCTCAATAATATCTCATTATGGTTCTAATATACATTAGAGGAGTCTTTCAATCTATTGTCTCTTAACTGCCTGCAGACACCACTGGCTGAAATACATTGATTTGAACAAGCAGCAGATATGCATGAGCTAGCCTTGTATTCTTCTACATCTCTTCATAGGCATAAACACGATCTGTTGGTTAAGGCAATAGGCAAGAATGCCTCTATATATTTTGTTTTCACCTGTAAATTGAGAAGATGCAGTTTGCATTTGTGTTGACTGCAAAACAACCTTCCAATATTGGTGTATGGTTGTATTGAACCAAATAGCTCAGCACATACCAGGAATCACTAAGGAATTTGTTTCTTGCTGCTTCAACCCCTGCACCATTTAGCATGCTTTAAATGCTGAAGGCTCAGTTATTTCACCACCCCTCCTACCCAGTTTTTTTTCTTTTGTTCAATCACTACGGTATCCTGGCTAGTTTTTCAGGGTTTTTTTGTTAGAAACACAGCAGTGAACTATTCTTATTTGTCATTGAGGCCACATTTTATTCGCATGTTATGCAGCAGGCAAAACATGTTATTGAAGGTCCTGGCAAGGCTCCTGAGCTGGTGGCTACTACCATTTTTTTACCCAGGGAAGTCAGAAATAGATACAGGAGTTAAGGTTGAGTATACATTGAGTAGCTTTTAAATGTATGTAAACCTTAACCACTTCCCGTCCAGCCGTGGTATACAAACGGTGGCAGTGCTAGGTCGGGTGGCCGTTTATTACCCTCCCCGCACCCTGCTTGTGCATGCTCCCTGGGAGCACGCAGCACCGCAATCTGGTGCCCGCTGTGTCCTCTGGACACAGTGGAACACCGATCGTCGGACGGGACCTCTGTGCGAGGTCCCGATCATGTGATCACTGATTGGCCAATCGGTGATCACATGCAGAGTAGTAAGCAAGATGTCACTTCTGACATCATTGCTTACTACGTGTGAAATCTGTGAATGATCACAGAGGTCACATGGTACAAGGCTATTCACAACAACCTTGTACCATGTGACAAGCTGTGACCAATCACAGCTCACACAGTAGTTCTCAATGGCTGCAAGAATGCGGCTAGAGAGAAGGAGAAAATGATTGCTTTTACAGCCTTTATGGGTGTAAACGCAATCAGTGTAAAAAAAAAAAATCTTCATCACCCCCCACAAGTAGTACTGCTAGGGTGACAAAAAAAAATTGTAAAAAAAAATCAATAATAAAAAAAAAAAAAATGTTTAAAAACTAATTTGGGTTATTTTTTTTTTTTTTTTACTAAAAAGATAGAATACATTTTGGCCAAGATTTATGATGAAATACTATTTATTTGCAAAATTTTAGGAAAACACTTTTTTCAAAATTTTGGGATGTTTTCATTTACATAGCAAAAAAAATAAAGATCCCAGTGGTGAATAAATACCACCAAAATAAAGTTTTATCTGTCTCTATAAAATGCTAAAAAAATTCATATGGGTACAGTGTTGCATGACATGACCGCGCAATTGTCATTCAAAGTGTGATAGCACTGAAAACTGAAAATTGGCCTCGACAGGAAGGGGTAAAAGTGTCCGGACTGGAAGTGGTTAATAATGAACTCCTTCTTTTTTTTTTTTTTCTTCTACATTCTTGTTATTTGTGTTTCATTTTTTTTCTCACAGCGAGGAGCCGCTTTAAGTCAGCAGCTAAAAATCCTGTAGCTGATAGTTTTTAATTAAAGGACACCTGTCTGTCCAGGGATCCCGCACCGCCCTCACCCAGACTAGTTTTTAACCAGCCTTCCAGTACATGATGCTGGCATTCTAACTGTGGGCAGCCAGCTATGCTGCTTTCAGCTTCACAACTGGCTGATCACTGCATGTGCGCAAGACGCACTGCGCTTTTTGAATGTTCCTGCAGTCTTCTGGGACCTATGACGTGTCCTAGAACACTGTGAAGGGTGGGGGAGGAGATCTTCCCCTTCCTCTAAAATGACATAGCAAATATGGTAGATGAGGGGGGTAGTAGACTTTATGCAGAACTTCCCCTTTGGGTGAGGTTCAGCTTTAAATCCTGCTCAGGGTACTTTTGTGAACTGCAGAACACTTCCCTCTATGTTAAAGTGGAATTAAACTGTATCTGAGCATCACAAACTAAAAAAAAACTGAAAACGCTATTGAATTCATTCTTCATATTCAAAGCAAACTCACCCATTCATCCATGTCTCTCTGCATGATTTTGTTGAGAAATCACTTTGGAACCCCCCCCCCCCCACCCCCATATTTCTATGGCCATCTTAAGTAAGACCAGATAATTCATGTAGCCTATACTGGAATCCATCTGCCCTCAGGCCAAGTATACAGGGAGGAAGGTGTGCTTAGCTGAGAAAGCCCCTCCTCCCTTCCTCCAGATGAAAGTGAAAAAAAAAATGCCCATGAAGACTTGGGATGTATGACATCTCCAAGGCCAGAAACCAGGAAACAACTGAAGACAATAAAAAAAAAAATGTTAAAACAAGTAAATAAAATATTCCTTATCCATTTACTAATTATTATTTTTTACAGGACTTTATATAGTGCCAACCATTTATGTAGCTTTTTACATATGTATGGTGCATTAATATTAGTCTCTGCCCTCAGGGAGCTTACAATCTAAGGTCCCAAACTCAAATTCATATTTGCACATACTAGGGCCAATTTAGACAGGATCCATCTAACCTACCAGCGTGCCTTTGGATTGTGGGAGGAAACCGGAGTACCCAGAGGAAACCCAAGCTGGCACAGCTAATGCTGCTAGTAGCCTAAGAAATGTTGATTTACTGAGTTCAATTTCGTTTTAAGATGAAGGGGAAGAATTCTGTAATCCTAACATTCTTCCTGTCTCGGGTTGACAGCATTTCTCCACAGATACAGTACTACGCATGTCTCCTTAGGACAAGGAAGTATGTTACTATTGGTAGGATAACCAGGTAAAAATAACGGGGAAAAAAAATCCTGAAAACTAATGCTGCTACCACATCTAACGAAATAAAAAAAAAAAATTTTTTGTTCTTGATTTTAGATACACTTTAACTATATTCCTCACTTGAAATAGAAACCTTGAATTGCAGTACCAGGTTTTCGGTTGAAATTGCAGTGTGCACCTTGGCCGGTAGTCGCAGTATGCGAGTTAGCTGGCCTGATGGGGGGTGCTATACAAGTCCAGGGTCTATTTTATGGAACATTTGAAAGTTCTCATCATCTGAGAAGCAAGGCACTGATAATGTAGCCTTCCTAGGATGCATTTTTGAAACCATGGCTACATCACTAGTGCTTCGCTCAACCAGGAAGCAGAAAAACAGTAATTGAAAGCATAAGCAAGAAAGGTTTGTCCAATGAATGTAACATGATTTCATATCTGCATGCTAAGCTAAAGTGATTTCTAGTGAAAGGAGGGAAGATCCATTTAAAGTGCATTTTTAATGTCATTCTACTACATTAAGGGCTCAGTAAAGCACTATATCTATCATGTAATGGCATGCAGCTTAGTGCTTATTGCCTTAAAAAAGTCATGCACATTGCAAGTTAAATAATTACTAATGTTTCTCAAATGTTATTGCAGAGGAGAACCAGCAAGTACAAGCAGATGATCTTGGAGTCCAGTTTACAGAAATGTTCATGAAACAACAGGAAAACGTCACTCTTTTACTGTCAATTTTGGAGGTAAGACACCAGTTTGGTTGGTCATCCTATTATTTAAACTTAGTAACAATATTCTAAAAAGCATTTCAGGCTGTAATCTATACCTGGCAGATCAGTTTTATAGTTTCTGTACCTTTTATGAAAATTGTGGATCACTAAACCTTAACCACTTGAAGACTGGTATGTTATATCCCCTTCCATTCCATGCAGTATTTTTAGTTTTCAGCACTATGATACTTTGACAATCACTTGTCATGTAACACTGTAATCACATTTTTTGATAGAGCTTTTGTTTGGTGGTGTTTAATCACCACTAGGTTTCTTTAATTTTAATAAAAACATGTTTTATGTATTAAAGTCTGTATTAAAAAAAAAAAAAAAAAAAAAAACTTTGCAAACAAATAATCTTTCTTCATAAATTTAGGCCAAAATGCATTCTGCTATATTTCTATGACAAAAAGACAAACAAGTGTGTACAATTTAGACTTGGGTGAAAGTCCAAGGGCTTGTTTACACTTAATTCGACTTCAACACACATTAAAGCTCCTTCCTCTTCAACATGCTTTTTTTGCTTTTTTAACGTGTCTTTGATGCTTCTGTGACACTTTGATCATTCTTTTTTGAAGCTTTAATGAAGCTTGGCAGATACCCTGTGTGTGTGTGTTGCTATCTCATACCTGCAGTACCTCCAAAACAAAGTGAAGCGTAAGCTGAATAAAAGCCTCTAAAATCTGCCGGTGTTGTAAGCAAGCATGGGGCATAATTTGTGAAGCGAAGCAAACCCAACGTGTAAACAGGACTGTAACCTAACCATTTTATTTAGTGACAGGTGCTTTAATTGGTGTTCAGAGTGCTTCAAAAAAGCATGTCCAATGCCATGTTTTGAAGCTAGTGTAAACGAGCTCTAAGAAAGTGAGAGTCTACACACTATAGCATACTGTATGCAATATTTGACATATAATTTTTTCCCACAATTTTTTAGGAAATAAAATTTGATTTTCTTTCACAAAAATGTCATTTTAACAAGTTCTTACTCTGTCAAGGCAAAGGCATACTTACAAATACACCCCAAAACACATTCTTCTACTTCTGAGTATGGGCATACCACATTTGTGACACTTTTTCACTGCCTAGATGTATAGAGGGGTCCAAAATCCAACAATAACTCTCAGGTTTTCAAGCAGCTTACATTTTACATCTGATTTCTCAACTATCTGTCACATTTCCTGAGGCTCTGAAGTGCCAGGACAGGAGAAACATCACAATGTTATGTTCCTTCGCATTGGAGGAAGGGTTTAGGAATTACAGCTCTTAAGAGTATCCACCCCCCCCCTTTTTCAAGGGACCAAAAGTAATTGGACAGTTGAATACAATCATAAATAAAATATTCGTTTTTAATATTGTGTTAAAAATCCTTTACTGGCGATGACTACCTGAAGTCTGGAACCTATGGACATTACCAAAGACTAGGTTTCCTCCTTTCTTATGCTTTGCCAGGCTTTAACTGCAGCTGTCTTCACTTGTTCTTTGTGGGTCTTTCTGCCTTTAGTTTTGCCTTCAGAAAGTGAAATACATGCTCAATTGGATTGAGATCAGGTATTGCAGAATATTCCACTTCTTTTCTTTCAAAAGCTCCTGGGTTGCTTTTGCTGTGTGTTTTGGATCATTGTCCATCTGTACTGTGAACCGCCGTCCAATCAACTGCTGCATTTGGCTAAATCTGGGCTGACAGGATATCTCTGAACACTGCAGAATTCATCCGGCTGCTTGTGTCTTCTATCACATCATCAATAAACACCAATGAACCAGTGTCACTGGAATCCATGCATGCCCATGCCATCACACTGCCTCCACTATGGTTTACAGATGACATTGTGTGCTTTGGATCATGAGCTGTTCCAAGCCTTCTCCACACTTTTTTTCTTCCCGTCCTTCTGATACAGATTAATCTTAGTTTCTTCCGTCCAAAGAGTGCTTTTCCAGAACTGGTCTGGCTTTTTTAGATGTTTTTTTGGTAAAGTCTAATCTAGCTATTCTATTCTTCAGCCTTATGAATGGTTTGCACCTTGTGGTGAACCCTCTGTATTTGCTCTCGTGAAGTCTTCTCTTGATTGTGGACTTGGACAATGATACGCCCACCTCCTGGAATGTGTCTTTCACTTGTCTGGATTTTGTGAATGGGCTTTTCTTTACCATAGAGAGGATCCTGAGATCATCTACCACTGTTGTCTTCTGTGAATGTCCACGCCTTTTTATGTTGCTGAGCTCGCCAGTGTGTTCTTTTTTCACAGAATGTACCAAACTGTTGATTTGGCCACTCCTAATGTTGCTGCTATCTCTCTGATGGATTTGTTTCATTTTTGATGCCTTACAATGGCCTGTTTCACTTGCATGGACAGCTCCTTTGAACGCATGATGTAGGTTCACAGCAATAAATTCCAAATGCAAATACCACACTTAGAATCAACTCCAGACCTTTTACCTGCTTAATTGATGAAGAAATAAGTAGCCCACACCTGGCCATGAAACAGCTTTTGATTCAATTGTCCAATTACTTTTGGACCCTTGAAAAAGGGGGGATGGCTACCCCTAAGAGTTGGAATTCCTAAACCCTTCCTCCAATTTGGATGTACATACCGTCAAATTAAACCTGAGAGTGTGCACTTCAGCCCATATCCATTATACAGCTACCGTGTTTCCCAGAAAATAAGACACTGTCATATATTAATTTTAAGGTTAAAAAAATGCACTAGGGCTTATTTTTGGGTAAGTCTTATTTTTATTGACACCCCCTCCGACGATCCCCGCAGGATGGATCAGATCTGCGGATTGAGCATAATGGATCGGAGTCCTAACTGCAACCTAACTGATCTCTCCACCAGCTCCACAAAAAGGTACATTTTAAAGCAAGACCCCCCCTCCCCCTGCCCTCTCTCTCCCCTCTCTCACTCTCCTCTCTCTCCCCCCCCCCTTTCCCTCTTTCTCCCCCCTCCTCCTACATGAAGCTGCAGTACAGTCGCCAGGGTCGGGGGATTACACTGACCTACTGCATACATCGTGGCAGGGATGTGGACCCGCCCCTCTGCTGAAACTCTGAGGAGGAGACGTGTCTGCAGTGCCTGCCTCACTATCCGTCCCCTCAATGCCTGCTTATTTCAGAAGGGGCACATACAGGGACGGACTGAGCCTCTCATGGGGCCCTGCAGTGACCCCGGGTCCTCGGGCAGTGCCCGAATGGTCAGTTCTCCTCTGGTGGAGGTAGGTCTTATTTTCGGGGAGGGCTTATATTAGCGGTACGTAAAAAAGTACTTTTCGGGGTAGGTCTTATTTTCGGGGAAACACGGTATAGCTTGAATATGTTTTGGTAAATGCCCGAAAAAACTAAAATTGTGCCTGTGTCCAAATATATGTGGACCTAACTGTGCATATGTGTGTGTTTTTATTTAGATATATATATATATATATATATATATATATATATATATATATATATATATATATATATATATACACATTATACACCATAGTTTGTAGACTCTGACTTTCACACAGATTTAATAATGTACACAGTTTTAGTTTATTTTTACCAAATATATTTAGCAGAATATATGTTGGCCTAGATTTATGAACAAAGTTTATCTTTTTTTTATACAGCAAAAATAAAACCCACCAAAAGAAAGCTCTATTTTTGTGAAAGAGATAAAAATTTAATTTGTGTATAGTGTTACATGACCAATCAATTACCAGTTAAAGTGCAAAAGGGGGTAAAACATTCTGGGGATCAAGTGGTTAATGATCCCTCCTATGTGAGTTTCTGTTTTTGTGGTTCGCCTTACTTATCTCTCTTCCTACAGGAGTTTGATTTCCACGTGCGCTGGCCTGGAGTGAAACTACTGACTACTCTTCTTAAGCAGCAAGGACCTCAAGTGCAGCAGATTGTTTTAGTTAGCCCAATGGGTAAGTGAGGTATTTTTTCTCTAGTCACTGCTGACCGTTTTCCAGGCCCCTTAAAATCCTTCAGTCCATGTATACTGCTGTCCATTCAAAGGAAACCGGTCTGACAACCGGCTTCTGTCAAGCATTCCAGCTAGAAAACTGCAGGCATTGATATGTGTATTCGGGGGGGGGGGGAATTGTGAAATGTCAGCAATGTTCAAGTAAGAGAAATGGGAGGCACATGAGCTAAAAATGACTTTAAACCACTGTATTATCAAGCTGCAATATAAAAGAAAAAAAATGAAAAAAGTGAAGGGGGATTTGAATACTGTAGGAATGCACTGTAGGTTAACATTTTGTTCAGTGGTGTGCATTGTTTTATGTTTTTAAATAAAATAGAATATGTAAAATACAATCATCGGAAGATAATGCCATTGACTGGCCTCTCTGAACCTCTTTCGTCTTCTGCTAGTCGGGGGTTTTGAGTCACATTTCAAGGAGATTGGAAGTACTCTTGCGTACTTAACATGGTTGAAAATAAGTTGGTTTCTAATATGATGCTTTGTAGATCCCACTATTATCATACCTCCAAGACTTAAAAGAAATAAAAAAGAAATTCTCTTTAACCACTTCACAACTGCACTATAGCCGAATGACAGCTACAGCGCAGTTGTCCAGTTCTAGGAGGGCGTCATATGACGTTCTCCCAGAACGCGCCCCCCGGTGCTCTCTGTGATTGTTGTGTCCTACGGACACAGCTGATCACATGATGGGATAAAAGGTCAATCACAGCGCCCTTTTACCACGTGACACAGAAGATCAGCAAGTAAATACAGTGGCCGGTTGTCGGCTGCACTTTCCCCACGCTGTCACAGTGTGAGGAAAGTACTGCCAATAACCAGGAATTGTCACAGAGCTGATCGCCACTGATCATCAGGGCACTGATGATCACTGCTCTTATGATCAGTGCCCAGCATTTCCACTCATCAGTGCCGCCAGTCAGAGCTGCCCATCAGTGTCCGTCATTGCTGCATATCAGTGCCTCCTCATCAATGCCCACCAGTGCCACCTTATGAGTGCAGCCTATCGGTGCTGCCTATCCGTGCCACTTCATCAGTGCAGCCTCATCAATGCACATCAGTGAAGGAGAAAAATTACCTGTTTGCTAAATTTTATAATAGAAAACAAAGAAAAACTTTTTTGTTTTTCAAAATGTTTTGCTGTTTTTGTTTAATGTGCAAAATATAAAATACCCAGTGGTGATTAAACACCACCAAAAGAAAGCTCTATTTGTGTGAAAAGATAAACATTTCATATGGGTACAGTGTTGCATGACCGCGCAATTGTCATTCAAAGTGTGAGAGCGCTGAAAGTTTGCCTGGGCATGAAGGGGGTAAAAGTGCCCAGTAGGCAAGTGGTTGATATTTGGAAAACATAAAATTGTATGTTTTTCAACTGTTTACAGGTGTTTCCAGGCTTATGGATCTTCTTGATGACTCAAGGGAGGTGATTCGTAATGATGTAAGTTAAAGGTGGCATTTCTGTAATAAATTTTACTATTTTGTTTGAAATTATTATTTTCATGAACGTATTCTAAAATTGCATGCTCACTTTCAGAAACTATAAGTTGGTGTACATTTCTGTTCATTGGTTTCTTCTTTTTTTTTTTTTTTTTTTTTTTTTTAATGTAGGTGTAAATCCTAACCGAATGACATCAAAGTTATAATATTCCTTACATAAGCCCACTGAAGTGACTAGTCTTCGGTAATACACAATACTAGAGGGGGGATGGCATCTCCCAGGATTACCTGATTTCAGGGAAAACTGTCAGAAGTGACTCATGCATATGGTATTGTAGATTTAAGAGAGAGCAGACAGGATTCACAATGAGTACTGTTGTTGATTTTCATTTTAGATGTCCATATCCACTTTAAGGTTAGAGTCACACAGGCGGCAGTTTCTAGTGCCCCCTGAAAAGCGATCTGTGGTGGATCGCTTATTATAGGTTCTTAGAGTAGAGGCTTTTCAGATGTTAAGGCAACGCTGCTACTTTCTGACTGCCTGTTTTTGTTTTTTTATTTTTTCTGAATATCAATTTTTCATTGAACTAACGTTCAACAGTAATGCTTTGTTATTTTTGAAGAAGTTAGTCATGTTTCTGTAATATTGAGAAGTAGCGTACCTCACTTTTATGGTTTTTATTTTTCATTTTCTTGTGTGTGAATGTAAGTGTGTGTGTGTGTGTGTGTATATGTATATATATATTTACAGTTAGGTCCATATATATTTGGACACAGCACAAATTTCATACTTTTGGCTCCGAATAAATTAAAATGAAATCGTCCAAATTAATTTGAAGTGCAGACTTTCAGCTTTAATTCAAGGGGTTGAACATACTTATCAAGTACAAATTTCAGGAACTGCAACCATTTTTATACAAAGTCCTCCATTTTCAGGGACTCAAATGTAATTGGACAAATGAATATAATCATAAATAAAATGTTCATTTTTAATATTTTGTTGAATCCTTTACTGGCAATGACTGCCTGAAGTCTGGAACCCATGGACATTACCAAAGACTGGGTTTCCTCCTTTCTGATGCTTTGCCATGCTCTAACTGCAGCTGTCTTCAGTTTTTTTTTTTTTTTTTTTTTTTTTTTGTTTTTTTTTTTTGTTTTTTTTTGTGGGTCTTTCTGACATTCGTTTTGCCTTCAGCAAGTGAAATGCATGCTCAATTGGGTTGAGATCAAATGATTGACCCGGCCATTGCAGAATATTCCACTTCTTTTCCTTCAAAAGCTCCTGGTTTGCTTTTGCTGTGTGTTTTGGATCATTGATTGTCCATCTGTGCTGTGAAGCGCTGTCCAGTCAACTTTGCTGCCTTTGGCTGACAGTATATCTCTAAACACTGCAGAATTCATCCGGCTGCTTCTGTCTTCTGTCACATCATCAATATACGCCAATGACCCAGTGCCACTGGAAGCCATGCATGCCCATGCCATCACACTGCCTCCACCATGTTTTACAGATGATGTTGTGTGCTTTGGATCATGAGCTGTTCTAAGCCTTCTCCACATGTTTTCTTCCTGTCATTCTGGTACAGAATAATCTTAGTTTCATCCATCCAAAGAATGCTTCTCCAGCACTGGTCTTGCTTTTTTAGATGTTTTTTTGCAAAGTCTAATCTGGCTTTGCTATTCTTCAGGCTTATGAATGGTTTGCACCTTGTGGTGAACCCTCTGTATTTGCTCTCGTAAAGTTTTCTCTTGATTGTAGACTTTGACAATGATATGCCCACCTCCTGGAGAGTGTCCTTCACATGTCTGGATGCTGTGAATGGGATTTTCTTTACCACAGAGAGGATCCTGCAATCATCTACCACTGTTGTCTTCCATGGATGTCCATGCCTTTTTATGTTGCTGAGCTCACCAGTGCATTCTTCTTTCCTCAGAATGTGCCAAACTGTTGATTTGGCCACTCCTAATGTTGCTGCTATCTCTCTGATGGATTTGTTTCATTTTTGAAGCCTTACAATGGCCTGTTTCACTTGCATGGACAGCTCCTTTGAACGCATGATGTAGGTTCACAGCAACAAATTTCAAATGTAAATACCACACTTAGAATCAACTCCAGACCTTTTACCTGCTTAATTGATGAAGAAATAACAAAGGATTAGGCCACACGTGGCCACTAAACACCTTTTGAGTCAATTGTCCAGTTACTTTTGGTCCCTTGAAAAAGGGGGGATGGCTACTCTTTAAGAGCTGTATTTCCTAAACCCTTCCTCCAAAATATATATGGTGTGTGTATGTTTATGTGTGTGTGTATGTGTGTGTGTGTGTGTGTGTATATATATATATATATATATATATATATATATATATATATATGTATATATATATATAGTTAGTGTATGTTTGTGTCTTTTCACTATAAATTTTATTTTCTCTATTTTACAGGGTCTTTTATTACTTCAGCAGTTGACAAAAGGCAATGCAGCAATTCAGAAAATTGTAGCTTTTGAAAGTGCTTTTGAAAGACTACTTGACATAATCACTGAAGAGGGAAGCAGTGATGGTGGTACGTACACAGACTGTTTAGAACAGCAAGAAAATCTGCAAGCTGAGGGTATTGTTTTACAAAGGTCTGTCTTGTTGTTGCAGGAATTGTAGTTGAGGACTGTTTAATATTACTTCAGAATCTACTGAAGTATAATAACTCCAATCAAAATTTCTTCAAAGAAGGATCCTACATCCAACGAATGAAGCCTTGGTTTGAAGTGGGAGATGACAACTCCGGGTGGTCTGCACAGAAAGTGACTAACCTTCACTTGATGCTGCAGGTATACACAGATGATATGAATCTAAAATGAATTATTAAATGCTAGTAGAATGTTGGTTTTTCTGGCTATATTTGTTTCTGTGCTTTTGCAGCAACTGTTCTTGTCAGATGTCAGTTATAGGTTGGTGTGAACAATGATATATTTAATAGTTTATATTCAATTCATGTGCATACGTAGGAAGTCTCCTATTTAGGAATCTTATGATAGCGACTAAATTGGGGTCCAAATCTACATGTCCCTCATTACAATCTACTTGTCAAAAAAAAAAAAAAGACCTTGCAGTGTAATGAGCACTGATTGGGTGCTCATCAGGAAAGGGGTGTGTTGGGTTCTCTTAACACACAGCAGAAGCGCATCTGCTGAGCGAGTAAATGAGGCATCGGCTTCAATGAGAAAAAAAAAACAACCCTTTATTGTTTGAGGTTACCCTCACATATGGAAGCACTTGAGTGCTCAGTACAAGTGCACGCTGAGCAGCCAAATCAAGCTGTGGTGTAGCCTGAATATGTGTATCCCATGAAGACGTGTAACCACTGCAGCAACTGCGCATGCACTGGAATCGGGGAAAACAAGCTGAGCTAAAGCCAAAGGGGTACCTGAATTCACTTAACTTTTTACATGCCAGACTACAACACAGGCACGGAGTGCTACAGCCGCTGTGAAATCCCGATCAGTAAAGTGCCTGTGTTATAATCCAGCATGAAAGGAGTTAAGTAACTTAGCGTGGCTTGTTTTTCCCTGATTCCGGTACATGCGCAGTTGCTGCATACCAGCATCGATGTCCCCGGTACTATAGACATTTCTGGGAACTGATTTACTCACACATGTCTGCCCCATCCCCCCACCACATGACCCACTCATTTTCCCTCCACCTCCTATCCAGTGATTTCTGACTACAGGACTTCTGAATCAGCCGTGCCAGTTCTGGTCAAAGAAATGGACAAGCAGGCAGAACTGGTCTTGGTTTGTGTTATCGTCTGTATGCAGAATCCGGATTATGATGTGTTTGCGGCATATCCTGTGTCAGAGATCAAGCATGTGGCCCAGGATGCTCTTATACGTAAGGTGGCTTTTAAATTATTCAGTATGTTTTTAATGAGCTAGGGACAGCTATTAAAGAGCGTTTCCAGGCCGATATATAAAACACTTCTAAAGCTGAACTCAACTCTAACTCTAACCTATTTTATGTATTCATTAAAATGTACTTTTATATAGCCATAATTTAAGTGCCTCAATTTGTGGTTTTTTTTTGTGTCTGCACCTCCTGTTCAATGATTTCCATCCTACCCAGGCTTCCATAATTGCGCTGAATTCTCAGTGTGCACCAACTGAACCTAGCTGTAAGCAATTTCGCTTTCCTCTAGATGGCCCCACCTACCTTCATGAAGTACTGCACTCCTCCTTCCTACTACCAACCAACGTTCTTATGCTACCTAAAATAAACATTCAATTTGCCATTTTCCATTATGGCCACCACCTCCATTCCTAACATACTGCGCTCCGCCTCCCTATTACTGGTGCATGCCTTTGAAGCTTAAAAGAAACAACCAGTCTGCCCTTTACCAATGTGGCTCCCTCCTGCTCATCTATAGAGCGACTATACCCACGCCCATCAAATCCGTATAGAGCCCGCCTCCTCCTCCTCTCAGACCAAGCTTCGGTAGCAGCATCACCTCTCTCTGTCATGTGACAGCTCATGTCTACTCTTCCCCCTTTTCCACTCTCTCTCTTCAGCCAATGGGGAGCGGCCAGGTTTGAGTGCGGGGGCAATCCTTGAGCGAGGACTCGAGACTTGGGTATGCATGACCGCACCTGCTCCCAAATCCTGTCAGGGGGCCTCAGGAAAGGTGAACGTCCTGGAGAGCATGTGAGAGAGTAGTTCGGTCTATAAAGGGGCAAAATTAAGTAAACCCTGCTGCTTGCCTGCAGCAGGGCTAAATGTTGAAAGAAAACCACCTGACTGGTGCACGAAACTGCATGTCCCGGGTGTCGGGCAATAGGAATTGTACATCTCTGATGCCAGTACATTGCATTATCTTTGTAGACGTTTTCTTAAGTAAATAAACTTTTCGGACTCTATCTGTATTTGTGAACAGTGTCCCTTTCCTATGGAAATATTTTTGTCTCCTGAATTCATACTTATGGGCATCATGCAGAAAAGGTTTCAGAATACTCAGGGTTTCATTTCACTAGTACAGCTGTAAGTCTAGGATGTAAAAAAGTGAATACTATTTTTGGTTTATATACATCATATTTGATTATAAAGCATATACCTAACCTGACAAAATGTTTTTGAACTGTGGAAGGAATCTTGAGCTTATAATAAAAATCAAATTAAAAGGACAGCATAAATTTTTATGAAAATAAGCTTAGGTCTGTAGTAGTGCAGGCTGTTTTCCTGCAGTTTTCATTTTTGTTAGATGTGAAGGAAAAGGCTTGGGAAGTATACATGACCTATCATGAATAGTTTAAATGTATATACACATTCCTGTGTTAACTGATTTGTAATGTTTCTAGCTGGTTCGGGTTCTGGTGTCTCCAATGAATCCTCCTGGTGCCACCAACAGTTGCCAGAAAGTCATGTATCAGTGTGGTTTGCTGCAGCAGCTTTGCATCATCTTAATGGCAACAGGTGTTCCTGCTGACATTCTTACAGAGGTATTTTCTTCATTTTTAATTCTTCAACATACTACATGTCTGTACGTTTGCTGTTAACATGTATGTAGTATTCATGAATCTGTACTTTCATCTGAAAATATCAGGGTTTTGTTGTTGATTGGTCTGTGCAGTGAGAATTCGTACAAAGTTTTTTTTTTTTTTTTTTTTTTTTTTTTTTTTTTTTCATTGAGACAAAGAAAATAAATATTATGATGCTGTAGACCAAACTTGTGAACACTGGGGCCACAGTCAGCCGTTTGGTTGTCCCTGTCCAGCCCGTGATTCCCCCACTGGGTGAGTTTGATAAGCAGTGCAACTTGTCAAGTTAAACATTTTGCATTGTGGCATGTGAACAGCCTTGTCCTGCTGTTTGTTTGGGTGGGAGGCCCGGGGGGGGAGGCTAGCTTAAAATCCTGGCTCATCTGCCCCTTATTACCATCCCCCAACCACCCATCTGAAAGAGGCCTACAATAATTCATGAGCAGTTGTACCTATTATTCCTCGCACCCGGTGTTTGTTTACTGTATATTTACATACCCAAATTAACCACTTGCCCTCCAGAGGATTTACCCCCCTTCCTGACCAGGCCATTTTTTGCGATACGGCGCTGTTACTTTGACAATTGCGCGGTCATGTATAAAATTTATGTCCTTTATTTTCCCACAAATAGAGCTTTCTTTTGGTGGTATTTGATCGCCTCTGTGCTTTTTATTTTTTGCGCTATAAACAAAAAAAGACCGACAATTTTGAAAAAAAAAATTTTTTTTTTATTTTTTACTATAAAACATATCCAGTAACAAATTTAAAAAAATCAAATTTCATCATCAATTTAGGCCAAAATGTATTCTGCTACATGTCTGTTAAAAAAAAAAAAAAAAAAATCCTAATACTTGTAAATTAATTGGTTTGCTCTAAAGTTATAGCGTCTACAAATGGCGGTATATATACTGGAATTTTTTTTTTTTTTTTTTTTTAATACTAGTAATGGCAGCGATCAGCAACTTATAGTGGGACTGCAGCAGGTATTCTGACACTGGGGGGAACTGACTAACTGCCACTGACATCCCCAGTGACAATAATACAGTGATCAGTGCTAATAAAAAGCACTGACACTGTACTAATGACACTGGGGAGGAAGGGGTTAACAACTGGGGCGATCAAAGGGTTAACTGTGTGCTGTTTACTAACTGTTCTGTGTGTGTTTTGATAAGTACCCGCTCCCACTTCAGGCTCAGTTCGAACTGACCAGGAAGTTTGACCCCCCCCCCCCCCCCCCTTCCCTCCCAGCTTTCTGGGACACTCCACAGGTCCCAGTAGACTGCGGTCCATTCACAAAGCACAGCACGCTTCGCCATACATGGTAGAAAACCGGCTGTAAAGCCGTAAGGCTTCATTGCCTGTTTCTCTTAGTCATGATGGCGGCACCAGTATCAGTTAAGTGCCCTAATAAAATTCAGCAGCTACAGTTTTTGTAGGTGCTGCCTTTTTTTTGGGGGGGCGCATAACTCCTCTTTAACCACTTGCCTACCGGGCACTTTTACCCTCTTCCTGCCCAGGCCAATTTTCAGCTTTCAGCGCTGTCGCACTGAATGACAATTGCGCGGTCAAGCAACACTGTACCCAAATAAAAGTTTTATAATTTTTTTGAGATAGAGCTTTCTTTTGGTGGTATTTAGTCACCACTGGGACTTTTTATTTTTTGCTAAACAAGCTAAAAAAAGGCCTGAAAATTTTGAAGTAAAAAAAAAGTTTTTTTTCTTTAGTTTCTGGTATAAAATTTTGTAAATAAGTAATTTTTCTCCTTCACTGATGTGCGCTAATGAGGCTGCAGTGATGGGCACTGATGAGGAGGCCCTGATGGGCATTGACAGGCATCACTGATGGACACTAAAAGGCAGCACTCATACATGGCACTGTTGGGCAGCACTGATGGGCAGCACTGACTGGCACTAATAGGTGGCACTGAAAGGCAGCTCTGATATGTAGCATTGATGTGCACCGATATGTGGCATTGATGGGCACTGATGGGGCTACACTGATCATCAGGGCCCTGATGATCAGTGTACATGTCCCCTCTGAGAAATGCAGATAACCGGCATTTCCTATTTACATGCGATCAGTAGATTTATTATTTTATTTATTTATTTATCGAGTTTATATAGCGCCAAAAGGGTTTGCTCAGCGCTGTACAATAGAGGGGGACAATACATGAAACAGAACAGTAACATCAAACAGTACATAAGGGGTAAGAGGGCCCTACTCATTCAAGCTTACAATCTAGGAGGGAGGGGGTAGAGGCACAGGAGGAAACGGCTGTGGGGGATGGAGTGGTAGGAGGAGGGAAGGGCAGCGGCTGTTAGGTGAGGGTGGGGTAGGCTTCCCTGAAGAGGTGGGTTTTCAGGGAGCGCCTGAAGGTGAGGAGGGAAGGTGACAGTCTGATGGATTGGGGTAGTGAGTTCCAGAGGATGGGGGAGGACCTGGAGAAGTCTTGCAGTCGTGCGTGGGAGGAGGAGACCAGGGAGCAAGATAGAAGGAGGTCCTGTGAAGAGCAAAGGGTACGGGTAGGGTGGTACCTGGGAATCAGGTCGGTGAGGTAGTTAGGGGCAGTGTTGTGAATGGCCTTATAGGTCAGGGTGAGCAATTTGAATTTAATGCGTTGGGCAATGGGGAGCCAGTGGAGGGAGAGGCAGAGGGGGGTGGCAGAGGTGGAGCGGCTGGTGAGGTGGATGAGTCTGGCCGCTGAGTTCAGGATGGTCTGAAGCGGGGAGAGCCTGCACTGGGGTAGGCCGGTGAGGAGGGAGTTGCAGTAGTCAAGGCGTGAGATAATCAGGGAGTGTACGAGTAGTTTAGTGGTGTCTGGGGTAAGGAAGGAGCGTATCTTGGCGATGTTCCGGAGGTGGAGCCTGCATGTGTTTGTGAGAGATTTGATATGAGGTTGAAAGGAAAGGTTAGAGTCCAGAATGACGCCAAGGACCTTGTCTTGCTGGGCGGGATTGATGGTGGTGTTGTTGGCAGTGATGGAAAGGATGGGGGGGGGGGGGCGTGGGAAGGGGGAAAGACGAGAAGAAGCTCGGTTTTGGAGAGGTTGAGTTTGAGGAAATGGAGCGACATCCAGTCAGAGATGTCGTTTAGGAGGTGAGTGATGCGGGCGGAGAATGTGGGGGTGAGGTGAGGGGTGGATAGGTAGATTTGAGTATCATCAGCGTAGAGGTGGTAATTGAAGCCGTGGGAGTGTATGAGTTTGCCAAGGGAGGAGGTGTAGATGGAGAAGAGAAGGGGTCCAAGATTTCTTTTAGCTTACAAAACGCCTGCTGTCTTTATACATTAGAAGGTTGGCAGGCTACAAAGATCGTGTAAAAATTGGAAAGAAGATAAGATTTCACTGCCTCTTTTGCGCTTTAATGATGAGTTTCTCTACAATGCCTATAGCTACAGAGGCTTGTGTTCACCTACATTCACACCTGTGCGTTCTGGGAACATGAGCAGAAATGCACATTTCCACACGTGTTCATGGAACATGTGACACATGAGTTGCACTTTACTGTGCATAGATTGGATACACATTCACTTTAAAGTGGTCGAAAATGTTTATGCTGTTGGCATTCCATAAAGGACACCTAGACCTTGCAGACAGCTGCTTTAAAAGGTACTTTAAACTAAGGTATTAAAATTGGTGGACAGGCAGGATTTTTAATGCAGAAGAGATATTCTTTGTTGCTTACCTGGTAAGCTACTTACCTGCTTGTCCGCCCCTGTACAGTGAGCCATGCACATGCAGCTCACTTTACAAATTCGGCAATGCCGATTCTGACTGAACTCTCACGCGTACGCATGAGTGCCGTGATCCCCACCTGGCCAGTGGCAGTGGCCAGCGATTGATATCTGGAAGCTGGCTGCCTGAAGATGTCAGTGGCCGGGCAGTGAGCTTGAGGACCACGCATCGGTGGAGCTGAGGTGAGTATTGTTCCGCTTTAAGTCTTGGATTGTAGAGCCATAATGTCTACCTGGCTATTTGCATGTTTTTATTTCTCTACTTAAAGTGATTCTAATGGTTTATTTTGGGTTTTTTTAAATAATAAAATATAGTATGCTTACCTGCTCTGTGCAGTGGCTTTGCATAGAGCAGCCCCAAAACAAATATCCCTGCAAAGAAGAATCTTTATTCTTGCCTTTGCTGCCCGTTTTGATGTTGAAATCTCACTGAACAATGTGATTGTATTTAGCGCCAACTGTCTTCATTTCTACATGGTTCTTGAGTGATTTACACACTTTTCTTAATTCCTTGGTATTGTGAATATGACAATTTTACCCATAAATCACAAAATATCTGAGCTGCACCCTTGTGGTTAATGTACTGCTGCCAGATTCTCATGGCTTGGTCATGTTCTATATTCTATTGTTGTGTTAAGTCAACCAGTTCATTGCACCATCTTAATGATTTTTGAAACCAGATATGTATTTGGATTTATGATCTGTGAAGATTGGTGCAGAATATTGGTTGGGTATTCTGATTGTTGAATAAGAATTACTAAATGAATTGATGTGTGCTTTTTACATCCCTTGGTGATTATTCTTCTTTAAATGTGTGCTTGACAGACCATAAACACCGTGTCTGAGGTAATAAGGGGAAGCCAAATTAACCAAGACTATTTTGCATCTGTAAACGCTCCATCAAATCCACCAAGGTAAGCATGGAAACCTTTTTTGTTGGTTTGATTTAAACATGATTTGATGTTCTATAGAATGGCATTATATTGGGCTTGATGGAGTAGGGTCAGGCCCTCATGGGTTTTACAGGGGAAGTATGTGCATGTTACCTGTGTAACCTGCTGATCAACATGGACCTCTACAAGTAATCCTATACCAGCAGCAACGTTTGGTAGCAATGGTAGAACTTCTTACTTCAGAAGCAGAGTGATATAACAGCAATTAATAGAGTAATGTATTCAGTCAAATCATAAAGGTCCAATTTAAGATTTATGGAAAATTAGCTAAATATATTATATTCCAGGTGCATCACAGCAGAAGGTGTCCAAAGTCTTACCATCTGTTTTCTTTAAAAATAAAAGCTAAAAATAGATCCCTGCAAAGAGTCTTTTCTACTTGCCCCCCACCCCCATGCCTCTGGAAACTCCTCCTCTTCAGCACCTCTGCAGTATACTTGTAGTTCAGAAGGCAGGCTCTGTTAAATGGGTGACACAGCAGTATATGTCCACAGGGCATAGTAATTGTATGCCACTACTTTTAAAGAAAGCAAATCCTGTGGGATTATTTTTAAAGTAGTTTTAAAAACTTTAAGGTTGTTCAGATTAATAGGAGTAGTCTAGAACTAATGGGAATTCAGTGTGGGAATGATTATATGATTTTGCATTTTGACTACAGATACGCTTTAAATCAAGGTTTTTGTGTTAGGATTTCAGCTTTAACCTCCCTAACGGTATTCCTGAGTGTAGCTCGGGGTAAAATGTCTATACCAAAAGCGGTAACCCCGAGCTAGACTCGGGCTTACCATGCGGCGCTGCATAGGGAGTCCCTGCAGCACTTACCTTGTCCTTCGTCCCGCGATGTGTCCCCCCGCAGCGTCCCCGGCCGATGCCGGCATCCGGCTTCTGTGTTCCGGTTCCCGTGACGTCGGGACGTACGGGCGGCGGCGGGAAATTTAAAAAATTTAAAAAATGTCGTTTTTTTTTTTTTTTTTTTTAATAGTAAAACATTGCTGTTTCATCCCATTTCACATACATATTGTCCCTAGTGCTTTGTCCTGTGCCCTGTCTGCATTTTTACTGTTCTTTCTGCCTGGAAACTGAGAAACGTCCATGGCGTCCAAAAAGCGTCCCTTTACGTCAAAAGCGGTTTTAGACCGGCTAGAGAACAGCGATAGTAAATCAGAACCACTTGCAGAATTGAGTGATAATGATTTGTGGGGAAATGTTCCTAAAAATTACAGCCTACAATAAAAAACTATTTCCATGGAAAAAATGGTACCGCTTTCAGCACAAAAAATCGGAAAGAATCATACCGCTAGGGAGGTTAAAGGGTAAGTTCACCTTTGAAAAAAAAAAATGCACATCCTTTTGCAGGTAAAACAAATGTGCGTTTTATTTTTTATTTTTTTTTATTTGGAGCCTGTAAAGCATTGCAGCCACTATTAGGAGATCATGGGTGCAATACAAGGCTCCTACAGACTCAGTGTAGCTGTCTGCTTGTACATTGTTTGGGCAGGCAGTTACTGAATGACAGAAAGAATCAATGAACTACCTAGAGCGCTCATCAGCGCCTTGGTAGGTCATTGAGAACTATAAGCCGTCAACCGCAGTGGCTGATGGTAGTTGTAGTTCTCCCATTACCAGAACTCTGTGAGTGAATGAATGAATGATGTGGCTGAGTGGACGGAGCCCCGCACAGCCACATTTTTTATTTTTTTAAATTATGACAGCGAGTGCTGGGAGAAGATCCCCGGGCCATTGTCACAACAGGGGCTCGAGGGGAGTGCAGGGGCTGCTTATTTAATAACATGTTACACTTCGGATATGGGCTTAACATGTTAGGAAAGGTGAACTTATCCTTTAACGAGTTCGGCTCTAGAACATGTTTTTAAATTTGTTTGTACAAATGTAAAACTTTCATTTTTTGCAGTAAAATTACTTAAAACCCCTTAACATTATATATTTTTTGGAAGCAGAGGCCCTGTAGAATAAAAAGATGATAGTTGCACATTTTTATGTCACATATTTGCATAACTGTATTAAATGCAGATTTTTGGGGAAAAACATAATAAAATAAATTTTAGTGCAAACACAATATAATACAAATTTTTTGAGAAAATATAAATGTGTCGAGTAAATAGATACCAAACATACCAAGTCTTAAAACTGCACGCGCGTGTGATATCGCAAAAAACTACGATACACAAAAATCTCTGTAGGTGACGCTTTAAAAACCTTTACAGCTCATCAGTTTAGAGTTAACCAGCTTTTGTGCTAGAATTATTGCTCTCACTCTGAGGTTCATGGCGATACATAAAGTGGTGCAACCGCGGTTTACATATGCATGCGCATCGTGGGCTTGCATTTGTGCATGAGTGCAGTACAACGGGGATTACGGCAATGTATTTTTTTGTTATATACTATTTTATTTTTAAAACTTTTTTCCTTTTTTTAATTATTTTTAATTAACCCCCATGTAATTAGCATTGCGCAGGTGACAGGTACTCTTTTTGGAGACATTAGTGGGCTAATAGACCCCAGTGCTTGAGTGTTTGAAAAAGCATTTTTACACTGGACACATACTGTACTTACAGGTTTTTTCCGTGCACACACATACACTTTAGAAATTATGTAGGAAAAAAGTATGGGAAATAATTTTTGGTTTACTGGGCATTAATCTCCTAATAATGTATTGCATCACATTCTTGAAGCATCTGCGACATTTTTGGTTCTGAAAGCAACTTGTGCAACAAATTCAGGTGTTTCTAAAATGTACCAATTTTACATTGTGGTGCATAGCATGTGCCACGTCTACATTGTGGTGCATGGAATGGGCCAAATTCAGAATGGTATACTGATAGTGGAGATAATTAAGGCCAACTCTCCTTTGGTGTGCATAGAGAAATTGGTGCACACAGATTTTGCCAAAGTGTTCAGTGTACATTCTAAATTCAAGTGCAAAACAGGTATATACATTTGGCACATGCTGCACCACTTTTACAACCTGTCTGTGCTAGTCTTTATTACTGTTTTTAATGCTAGAAACTTGAATACAATTATAGAAAAATCCTGACAAATGTTTATCTTTGTTTATTGTTTTTCTTTATTAAAGACCTGCAATTGTCGTGCTTTTGATGTCCATGGTGAATGAAAGACAGCCTTTTGTTTTGAGATGCGCTGTTCTATACTGCTTTCAGTGTTTCCTCTACAAGAACCAGAAGGGTCAAGCAGAAATTGTAGCAACTCTTCTGCCCTCAACTATTGATGGTAATGTTTTTGTCTGCACATTAATTTTTCTTGAATGGTGATGTAATGAATTTAGATCAAATACCAAGTATTAATAGTTTTTAGTCTTTGCCTAAAGTGATTGTAAAGTTTTTGAAAAGTTTAGTAAAGTTTTTAAAGTATTGATTCTTCCTGTTGGTATATCTGCTTGCTCGCACATCCTGTATGGGCAAGCAAATATACTGACCGATCAGCACAAGACCTGCATTAATAAAAGTACTTTTTTTTTTACCTGCTAAAAAATGTGTGTTATTTTTGGTCAAAAGTTGAACTTATCCTTCAACTAATTCCTATAATGATCGAAAGTTTATGGAAGCAGCACCAAGAAAGCAGAAGCCAGCAGCATTGAAAGGTGTAAACTGCTCAATGTGTTAGGCTTAAAAACAGCGAGGGTTTAATACTACTTTACCTGCAGCAGAGAAAAAGCTAGACAGGGCTACGTTGTGTTGTATGGCTGTGTAAATCTTAGAACTAAATGGACAGAAATACAAGTTCTTTGACAGATACACTGCTCAAAAAAATTAAAGGAATACTTTGAAAACACATCAGATCTCGATGGGGAAAAATATCATGCTGGATATCTATACTGATATGGACTGGGTAATGTCTAAGTTGTCTGGCTAAGTAACGTAAGGATGCCCCATCGTTTGATGGAAATTATCAACCTACAGAGGACTGAATTCAAAGGCACCCCAAAAATCAAAAAATGATGCAGCAGGCTAGTCTATTTTGATGAAATTGTAGCAACTCAAAATGGTACTCAGTAGTTTGTATGGCCCCCACGTGTTTGTATGCATGCCTGACAACATTGGGGCATGCTCCTAATGAGACACGGATAGTGTCCTGAGGTATTTACTCCTATATCTGGACTAGGGCATCACTGAGCTTCTGGACAGTCTGAGGTGCAACCTGGTGGCGTCGGATGGATCGAAACATAACATCCCAGATGAGTTCTATTGGATTGGATTTGTCAGGCGAGCATAGGGGCCATTCAATGGTATCAACGCCTGTATACTCTCGCCACATGAGGCTGGGTATTGTCGTGCAGCAGAAGGAACCCAGGACCCACTGCACCAACGTAGGGTCTGACAATGGGTCCAAGGATTTCATCCCGTTACCTAATGGCAGTCAGGGTACCATTGTGAATGGATATGCCTCCCCAGACCATCACTGACCCACCACTAAAAACATTCATGCTGAATGATATTACAAGCAGCATAACGTTCTCCACGGCTTCTCCAGACCCTTTCACGTCTGTCACATGTGCTCAGTTTGAACCTGCTCTCATCTGTGAAAAGCACAGGGTGCCAGTGGTGGACCTGCCAATTCTGGTGTTCAATGGCAATGCCAATCGAGCTCTATGGTGCTGGGCATTGAGCACAAGGCCCACTAAAGGATGTTGGGCCCTCAAGCCACCCTCATGAAGTCTGTTTCTAATTGTTTGGTCAGACAAATTCACACCAGTGGCCTGCTGGAGGTAATTTTGTAGGGCTCTAGCAGTGCTTATCCTGTTCCACTTTTCACAAAGGAGCAGATACCGGTCCTGCTGATGGGTTAACGACCTTCTACGGCCCTGTCCAGCTCTCCTATAGTAACTCTCCTAGAATAACTGCCTGTCTCCTGGAATCTCCTCCATGCTATTGAGAATGTGCTGGGATACACAGCAAACCTTCTGGCAATGGCACGTATTGATGTGCCATCCTGGAGGAGTTGAACTGCCTGTGCAACCTCTGCAGAGTCCAGTTATCGCCTCATGCTGCCAGTAGTGACACTGACCCTAGACAAATGCAAAACTAGTGAAAAACAGTCAGAAAACATCAGTAGGGAAAAATATTTCAGTGGCCATCACCTGTAAAACCATTCCTGTTTTGGGGGTCATCTTATTGTTACCCATCTAGTGCACCTGTTGTTAATTTCATTACCAATTAAAGCAGCTGAAACTGATTAACAACCTCCTCTGCTGCTTAACTGACCAGATCAATATCCCAGGAGTTTCATTGACTTGATGCTATGCTCTTATTACAAGGTGTTAATTTTTTTGAGCAGTGTATTTATTTCAAATTTATATTTAACGGTTTGCCTGGAGCTCATCTTTTACTTCCTACAGTTTATTAGCATTACAATTTAAACTGGTGCATGTTTGCTGCCTAAAGCTGGCTTTTACATACAAAGATTTTGTTTCAAATGTTATCTGTCAGAAGAACTGTGTAAGTTAAGGGCCCGGCCAAACTGTATATTTAAATGATACCCAATTTAATTTGAATTATAAACTTGAAACAAAATGGGATTGTGTCTGGTTAGCATTAATAACTTTGATACTTTATTGAATAGATGTAAATGCCAGCTGGACTAATGGTTGTTCTTTTTTTTTAACAAACACATGACAACTTATGTTTGTTAAACTAGGAATTTTCAATGCAGATTCTGTGAGGAGGTATAGATTTATAAACTGTGTTACAATACATGTTACAAAATACATTACTTTTGCTTTTAAACCATTGCAGGTGGAATATATGTCCGTGTATTCTAAAGCAGATTAGTTTTTCAGATTAATGGTTTTTGTGAGTGTATATGAGAACGATGCTTGAAGTTCTGTTACTGCAGTTATTGCTTTTCTTCTTCAGCAACCTCGCTGTCTGCTGGACAACTGCTTTGTGGAGGTCTCTTTTCTACAGATTCTCTTTCCAACTGGTGTGCCGCAGTTGCACTGGCTCATGCTCTGTTAGAGAATTCTACCCAAAAGGAGCAGCTGCTAAGAGTTCAGCTTGCAACCAGTATTGGTAACCCTCCTGTGTCCTTGCTGCAGCAGTGCACCAACATCTTGTCTCAGGTAAGAGTTTGTTTGGCATGCTACTGAAGAAGCACTGACAAAAGCATTTAATTTCTCAACAATCACAGTCCATCTTCTCATCTTTTTTTTTTTTTGTTTTTTTTGTTAGTACTTTACATATGTGGATTTTTATTAACTGCTATTCTTACACTGCACACAGCTATTGGATAGTACTTACATTACCCTAAATAAGATAACCGCTAATATGTTTGTTGGTCGTGAAGCTGGAGCTCTCCTGGACTGTCCTTTTTTTTGTAAATATTTATTTTACGTAGTTACTGTAGAGAAGTTCATTATAGAGGTATTACAATAATGTTCTAAATTAGAAGAAATACTGTATATAAAGTATATTCATCAGTGAAGAGCCAGTTTGCCTCTCGTGGTCAAAAGTGTGCTCTTTTACATTGGGAAACTAGGATATTTATTACTTCAGAAGTGTTTAAAAATGTTACTATGCAATGCAAGAAATCAAACAGAAATTTTTGTTAGATTGGGGAAAGGCTTGATACCCTTTCAGGTCTTTATTGCTATCTGTCTCTCCCCACATCCTTGGTCCTAGCATGACAACCAGGGCTTGGTGTAAATTAAATGTCCTGCTTTCCGCTCTGTGGAATGCATTCCCCATATATTTTTAAAAAAAGCCTTTAAAAGGCCAGTGGCACCGTAATTCTAGCTTTCTCTGTCTGGTTTACAATAGAAATATATATAGAGTCCACGCCAGAGGGTAAGAGTATCTACAGCTTATGCAGAGATCTTCCTGCCATAGTATGAATTAGGGGTATACTGTAGGTGTTTGAGCTTTCACGATCACGTCCATCAAAAAAAGCACCCAGTGGTGGACCAAATCCTGACATTTAAAGGCTAAAGAGCAGTTTTCGCATACATTTTTCCTTTATTTACCCCTTGGTGTTTTTCAAAAGACTGTTGTGGTGGTTATGTGTATGTTTTGGTGTTGGTTTTTTTGACAGTAAAGGGGAGCCTAGATATTTTTTATTTTAATGCACAAAACTACATCTTTGCTAATACCAAGACTGGCCTCTCTCTGAAGTTTTTCTTAAATATAGTGCATGGCATGCTTGAAACTTATTTACCAAAATAACTCTCACAAGACATTAAATTTTGTGACCTATGATTTACAGGGAGATAAGATCAACAGACGGGTATGTATATGTTGGCACTGCTTGCTGCCACTGCAGGGCTTCTTTTCCTTGCTTTACGATGTGGGTGTTTTTAATTTAATTTTTTGTAATAACCGCCTTGAAGTGATTCCTACTCACATGTTCCTCTCTGTTTCTATGGTATTCCCATTCTCAATACATTTTAGGGAGCTGGGTCTCATCACTGGTGCTTGTTGTGTACAGGAAGCTGCATGACAACTCCACGCTTCTAGGGTTTCTGCTCATCTCACAATTGAATGAGATGAACATTATTACACTAATTTTTCAGTTTAAAGATGTACTCTTGGTCACCTTGAACTAGATTATTATTATTACTATTATTATTATCAGAATTTTCAGTCCATTATTTAAAGGTTATTAATAATGAATGTATCTTTATTTGGGTGCTATAATTACATCTTTAAAGCATTAACTTCTATTTTTTGTTTTCCTCCTACTTGTACGTGTTTTACCTGAGTAGAAATGTCATTTTTAAGCCTGAAAGTAATCCTTCAAGGTACCCATACCATTCACAAGTGTGAGCGGTCATCATTTCAGTCCCTGATATGAGTATGACCCTGTAGAATACCCATTGTTCGCCTAGGAGAGTGACCCTTCCATATATCCATTCTAGTCCTAATCAACATCCTAATGTTCATCAGGGTTTGGTCTGTAAAAGTAAAGCTGAACTCTGACAAATATAAAAGACACCAATTAATGCAGCTCTGTAATCCATAATAGATTATTAAATGTATTTTTAAGCAAGCAGGTAAGTAGATGAATTTGACCTGGTATCAGTCTCTTGAAGTGGACTTCTCACTACAACAGCAGCAGTATATATAGGAGACAGAAGATCTATAGATATTTACCAACCAGACATGGGATTAAACCCTGCTTCAGTCCTGAAAAAATTGGTTGTGCTTTACCCTGTAATTTGTGGAGATTTCCCTTTACTTCAGTGACACAACAGGAAGTGAGAGGATGTATCTTCAAAGTGAGGCAAATCCCCTCTTAGACATTTGTCACAGGAACAAATGATCCTATTGGAAGGTCTGTAAGCTCTTTCTGTTCTAGTGACAACTCAGAATTTTGAATTTGCCTCGCTTTTTATACCAGTGACAATGGTCCGTAGGACAAATAGAGTGGAGACACATACGACAATAAAAACCTAAGGTTGTAAAGCTTCCAAACTTAAAAACTTTGCTTTATAAAACACCTTATAGCTAGTTCATACCACACAGCAATGTATAGCACATAATGTCTGTGTGCTGCTGTGTAGGGACAATGTACATTGTAGTGTGTTGTAATAAGACTGTTGTCCCTAAAGCTGGCCATAGACTATGTGATTTTCTTTCCTGCAACCATGGGTAGGGAAAAAAATCAGGAAAGAAAATTGGTCGTTTGACTGTGTTGATAAGGGAATCCCTCCCATGGAGTTATTCTCCCAATGAGGGTGGGTGGGGGGTGGGGGGATGTCAGTTGAGCTGTTTTGGTTGGAGTAGCTCTTTAAAGTGTGAGCGAATGCAGTGCAAGAGATTTAGATATATCCTCAAGAAATGAAACACTACAAACAACAGTATAGAAATTTAAAATATGATTTCTAAATTCCTTATTTTATGTCCACATTGCTACAGTCACATGACTTTTGATTTGTCTCCACACTATATTTTGAGTGGGCAGCAGAGCACAAATGATGAGCAGTCATGTGAGGCTGCTTCCAGAGCTGAAACTAGCAGGGGCAAGGCTTCTGAAGAAGAATCTGCCATGGCATGGGCAGTGGGAGTGGCAGATTATACACAGAATTAGCTGCTATACTGTTGCCACTCTGAATAAGAAAATTGAATAAAGAATTGGGTTCAAGCACACATTTACTGACAATTACAGCATCCATAAAGGATGGGTAGATACCCTACTTTCACATATAATGACTAAAATTAAAAATTAGGTTTAGTGACACTTTAAAGGAATGTGTTCTCTTACATGTACATAACTATGTAATTTATCTTCCTCCCAACCCTACTGAAATTTGCCAATGCTACTCAGAGCTTGGAAGTGGATGCATCCTCGTTGGCAACTGACATATTGTGCTATAGCTGTTTTGATCTCATGTGTTGAGCTACTTAGATGTAGAAGTAGATGTAGACTTTTCCATGCCCTTGGCCAGCCAGTACAATGGGAACTTGGCTCATTAATAATACCACTGAGATATTGAATAGGGAGCGCAGAAGACTGTAAAGTACAAATTAGTTAACACAAATTGAAATTGTGCTTTGGGAATTGTTTCCTAGTTTTGTGAATATCTAACAATGAATTAACATTTTTAGCTTAAGATACTACCAATGTTTTAACGTCTTAATTAAATGTCATCCCTAATACTTATTACAGGATATCTTAACCCAAGAAGTAAATATTTATACATTGCAGCTTACTAGTCTTTAGATGTTATGGCTTAATTAGACATCTTTCAGAATAAGAACATTTTCAGCAAATACAGAAAATATATGTTGGTCTTGCCAAAAATGCACTGTCCCTGCCACTTCTTGTGAAGTAAATGGAAAATACAAACATTTCTTTACAAACTTCCCAAGGTATTCTATAACTGCAAATTCCCACCGCCATGTAATAGGAATGAAATGAGGAAGGAGTGTTTGTAATCCCAATCAGGAGAACAGCCTAAATTGATAATACTCCTCCATAGATAATGTACCCAGGGTGAGTGTTGTCACCCTCATAGGAAGTATGTTGAGGACATGATCACAAGGTGACAAAAAAGAGGGAAAGAAAGTCGGAAAAAACCTTAATAAAGCTACCATGTCTAAGGAATGATATGCTGCAATATATTACATTATTACATTTTTGTTCTTGGGTTTGGATACACATTAACTGATATTTGATGTTTGGTTTAATGCGCTACGTTAACTTTTTGCTCTCTTTTTGAATTGGGCATGAGCTGTTTATAGTGAATTTATTTTAACATCTTTAAATTGCTGGTGCACATGCATCATTTCAGTAACTCTAGAAACATACCTGTGCACAAGCTGTAGAGCTTTACTTAAGCCTAGTACACATGATGAGAAAATCAAACAACAATTACTGCTTTCGGAGCAATCGTCCAATAATCTGATCTTTCATACAAGTTTTTGAGAGTTGATCACGACAGTTCATGCTAAATTATCTGAAGGGACAAGCACAAACATTTTTCTTGTATGGTAACAGAACAAACGATTTTCATTTAATCAGTACAGTATTTGTCCCTAAAAAATCTAGTGATGAAGACTGTGCATGCTCGGAAACGAAAGAATATGTTAAAATACAATACATTACATCATCGCAGGACATTGTATTCTGTCTTACGAGAATTTTCGTAGCTTTAGTAACCTATTCCTTTTACATATGAGAAAAAAAAAGGATGATAATTTGTCCGATATTCTCATGGTGTGTACGAGAAATATGAACATTTAATGCTTTTACCCTCCAGTGTTTCTTTTTAACAGTAGTGAATCAGATAATTCAATTTACTATTTGGCACTTCAAATATTTGCCTTTCTTTTATCAGCACTATTGATAGCATAGATTGTGTAGGATAAGAGAGGCATCTGCCACATCACTTTCTCCTGTTTCGGACTTTTTTTTTTTTCTTTTAAATACCATTTGTGAAAAAGAGAAGTCTTGCCCAGGAATAATAATTCAAATGTGTGGAATGCAGAGGTTTCAGGATTTATTAAACATCTATTTTAATCTCCAAATTCTGTCTGGAGATAGAAAAGTGCTTTCTCCTGCTGTCTTTGAAGACCATAGCAAGAGATGCCAGCCTTAAGGGCTGGGGAGGTGTCTTAAACACCTTGTTGGTGCATTGGACTTCATTGCAGAGGAATCTTGTCTCTCGGTCAATTTTGGAACTCACAAGTAATTTTGTTGTTCCTGCAATGCATCAGCCATCAGGCAAAAAGAAAAAATAGAAATGTCACAGTGGTAAAAAAGGTAGAAAGGGTTTTACCCTCAGCAAAACCCTATGCTGCTTGCTTGTCCACAGTTCATATCCCAGGCATTGACCATTGGCCTGATGTTCTCCCTGCTTCCTTGTTTCAGGATCTGTGTCACAGATAGGCCATAGGTGGATCTCCCAAGCCAGATGATGAGATCATCTAGCAGAAGCAGTGGATGCTTTATTGACCCCGTGGGATCAGTACAACCTATTTTTTTTTTTTTTTTTTGCCCTTCATCCTCCTAAACCCCTTTCTCATCTACTCTGCAGGATTGCAGAGGAGAGCATTTTGGTGATACTCATAGCTTCGAACTGGCCTGTGTATATCATGCTCAGACCCAATCAAACATTTGGCAGACAGCCCATGCGATCTTCCAGATCTACTGGATCCTCTATCCTAGGGGCAGTCTAACACCCCACTTCATGGTCTCTGGCTTCAATGGCATGACTGTTAAATCCCAGGCCTTGCTAGACAGGAGTGGGAGTAAAGGCTAATATACCTGAGGTTTAAAATGTTGCTTACCTCCTCCCCATATTTCATGCCTCATGCTGCATACCGTTTGCTAAACAGCTCTGGGTAAATTTTACCTTATTTTTATCTCTGTTAGTGCAGTCTTGTGATTGCACCAACAAGGCAAAAAAAAAAAAATGTATTTAAACAGAGCTGTCTTACAAACTATGCAGCATGGGTATGAGGAGAAGGAGGAAATATTTGCATCTGAGGTTTATTTATCTTTTCTTCCACCTTAAAAGAAAACAAAAAAAAAGGTTATGGTAAGCACAAAAATCCTGATATGACCACTGTGATGTTGACATTTAAACAACATAAAGGAGCTGCCCTAAGTTTTCTTCTTTTGACCATTCACCAGCCAGTGCTTACAGCATTATGATAAAAGCATGAAAACCTGCCCTCTCTGCAGCATTTCAGGTTGCATCTCTTGTAAAAAGACCTCCATGAAAGTCCAGCATTGTCTGTGTACAGGAAATAAAACATTAATTGCATTTTGTTTGGATTTATTTATTATTACAAGTGGCTCGAACAGAATTACCATTTACTATTTTCATTCATTATATACTGCATATAAAGGAGAATTTTTCTACATATGTTTAATTTTGCTTTGAAATTGATGTACTGTGTGGCTGCACATTACACTTGGTGAGGTGTTATCCCATGGAGATTGACGAATACATTGTGGTACTGCTCAGCCAGAAACATATATAAATGAAACACAAAAAACACAAGATAAAGCACAGTTTGTATATTATAGTTGGGCCCACAATGCTTTTCAGTCTTTTGCTCCAACATATTTCATGAATTTAAAATGGCTCCAGTACAAATATATGTGGATTTTTATATTTTCTGAAACATTTTGTTTAATCACTGTACAGAACATGTAGCTCTGCTGCTTCTTTGCCACCTTCCTGCTTTCACCGTGCTCATTGGACTATAAATGAGCATTGCTGCATTGGTTCTGTTTGTGCTTAAACCCTTCTGTAGCTGCCTAAACTATGTCCTTCAAGCTCCCACTGCCTGAAATACATTAGTGTGCAATACAAAATAGCTTTTGTGACCCTTGCTGTAGTTTTTGACACTGCCAATCTCAGCATGCTTTATTGTGAGAAAAGGGTTATGGGGATTTACTGTAAAGGTAGGTTTCATATCATGCTATATATAAAAATCCATTTTAATAATTTTTGACAGAAAACATAGCTGGTTATGTTTATGCTTTCAGTTCTGTTTACTATTGAATGGTGTTTTATATACATGTATCCCTGGCGGGTGCTTCAACTATGTGTATTCATCTCTGAATGGTTTAACCCTAGGTCCTACGTGAAGGACCTAGGGTTCTGAGTAAAATGGTTACATCTCTTGGTGAATGAACATTTTCATTTGAAGTTTTCTTATACTGTATGTGTTTGACTGTGTCCAATTTTTCTGCAGGGTAGTAAAGTACAGACCAGGGTTGGGCTGTTAATGTTGCTGTGCACTTGGTTATCCAGCTGCCCCATCGCAGTTACACATTTCCTTCACAATGCAGCTAATGTGCCTTTTGTATCCTTTGTGTTTTGTGTTGTAACTGTTTTTTATTAGCAGTATAATTTGAATGTATTAACTTTTTTACACATTATGATTAGAAAAGAAACGTAATTTGGCTTAAAGTGATTGTAAACCCATATTTTTTTAAAATAACAAACATGGCATATTTGCCTACACTGTGTAAAGCCAGTGCACAGACCTGATCCTCCTTTTTTCTGGTCCCCCGCTTTCACTCCAGGCTCCTCCTCCCTGCTGATTGCCCACAAAAGCAAGCCGCTTGCAATGGGAGCAGTCGTGTGGGCGCACTCCTGAGCCATGCTATCTTTATCCATTGATGCACCAAGCATGGTTTGGCCCCACCTCCCTTTCCTCCTCATTGGTTATGAATACCATCAGCAGGAGCCAATGGTTACCGCTGCTGTCTCTGAGCCTATGAAGAGACAGAGAGATCTGCTGCTCTTGTGCACAGCACTGGATCGAGATTGGGCTCAGGTAAATATAAGGGGGTGCTGGGGAAGGAGGAGGGGGGCTGCACCCAGAAGGTTTTTTACCCTAATGGAGAGAATGCAATAGGGTAAAATTTTCAGCCTTTAACTCAATTAGTTCAGTATAAATAGTGTGGGTGTATATTTTTTTAATTAAGATTATCCATTTCATTACAATCACAGTTCCTCCCTAAAACAGATTCTGATAGGGGATGATGCAGTGTTAATTTTTTATATCAAATTTAGATTAAGTTTTAGTCCGTCTTTTGACTAAAATGCCATAATTTAGTCATCTGAATTGTCTTATTTTTAGTCATATTCTTTTCAACTAAAATCTCCAGTACGTTTGTCGATTACAATTTTGTACATTTTAGTCGACTAAAATCAAACGGGTTTAGGTGAATTGTATTGTGTTATTTAAGCATTTCCAAAACTCATCATATACTCCTGGATCAAAAATCTAAAAACATATTTTTTATGCTATTAAGGTCTTTGTACATGCACTACAGACACAGATTTAGTCGTCGTGATATATAACATCTTTATGCATAAAACCAAGTTTTGCTACAAGAATATTGCTTTTTTTGACCGAAGTGCAACTTTAAAATATGTTTAATAAAAAATGTAAACTCTATTTAATAGAACTCTATTGCCTGTAATGTCATTGCATATATTAAATTAACTTTTAACAGTTCAAGTAACTGAACACAAAAAATTTCAGCAGCACCAAGGACAGACAGCATATCTAATCCAATACTCGAGGGTAATGCTTATTTCTATTATAAGAATCAGTTTACTGTTCACAGTAAAAACAGTTCAAAGTGGAAGTTCACATGGGTAAATGTCCCTCCCTCACATTTCCGTTCCAATTTCATTAGTTGCTGAAAACTGGAATTGATTTTCGTTATAGTTTTCTTCAATTGACGAAAATTTTAATTGATTTTTGATTAGTTTTCGTCACTAACTAAAAACTGTGTCGAAAATATTTTTGTCCACAAAATTAATACAGGTATGTTGTTTGACTGCTGTACCAGGATCTCCACTCAGTCTGTGTAAAATAAATGTAAATTTTACTAGGGACATGAAAATGGACCTTCAGCAATATGGAGGCTGCTGAACTCCTGAAAACTTTAGTTCTTGGGTATTTACATTGACCCTCTTGACTTCAGTAGTTTCTAAGTCGAACAAATGGAACAAGTATGCATATTAAGAAATTCAGACATCCGAAGTCCTGGTTGTTAACATCTGATTAAAAAAAATATCTGTCTCAAAAATGTAAGTGGGTTACTCCTGTTGTGTTGTAATCCTGTCTGTTGGTAATCTCTTTAGTGGTGGGCTCCCATGATTTTACCAATATAGAACATCCAAGAAAAAATGATAATGAGATCTTCAATTAGCAAAAGTCTTTTTTTACTTCAAATACACTATATATTGCCAAAAGTATTGGGACACTCCTCCAAATCATTGGATTCAGGTGTTTCATCATCCATGGCAGGTGTATAAAATCAAGCACCTTGGCATGCAGACTGCTTCTACGAACATTTGTGAAAGAATGTGTCGCTCTCAGGAACTCAATGAATTCAAGCTTTGTACTGTGATAGGTTGCCACCTATGCAATAAGTCCATCCGTGAAATTTTTCTTCCTCAAAATAATTAAACCAATAGTGCCGCACTTTAATGCAAGACTAGATAGCAAAAAACTTAAAACCACCTTGTGATAATGTCTCCTCATCTTAAGTTATATATAAACAAACATACAACATATAGTAATTAAATTATAACAGTGTTGTTAACCCCTGTGAAATCTCAAGAAAAAGAAACCATGCTGCCTTATCCTTTTTAAATTAAAGATTTATTGCTGAACGATGATATGATTCATATCCCCCCTGAGGAAGTCACGTGACCCGGTGACGCAACGTGTAGGGGAGGGGTTCTGACGTCACGACGTTGTCTCGGACAGAACGGCGAGTATAGCAGACACAGCAGGCTATGCTTTCACTCTTACAGCATATTGTAATTTGCACTAATGTGAGTGTAACATCGTTCAACAATAAATCTTTAATTTAAAAAGGATAAGGACCATGGTTTCTTTTTTCTCTTATGGTATCCAACTGTGACACACTGGAGAGAGGTTACTAAAGGAAGGAGGAGACCCCTGGAGGGGAAAAGGGAGATATCCATCCATCCATCCATCCATTCCTTTACACAGAGACCAATTGATTGGAGAGACCCCAGGTGGAATAATATCTAACTACAGCTATCCATATAATAGTTTGGAGAAATCATATGCAGGAGAATTATGGTTACACTTGTCCTCTGAGGACAAAAAGCGAGTTTTGCCTATAATATTAGGCGAAACTTAAGGTGAGCGCATAATAAGATCACACTGCACCTGGATTTTGGAGTGGAATATTTTGAATTGAAAGAGGACCCTGTGTTTATAAATATATTTTGGTTCACTGATAATAGTTATTGAGATTTCACAGGGGTTAACAACATTGTTATAATTTGATTACTATATGTTATATGTTTGTTTATGTATATATAACTTACGATTTGGAGACATTATCACAAGGTGGTTTTAAGTTTTTTGCTATCTAGTCTTGCATTGGAGCGCGGCACTATTGGTTTAATTATTATGAGTCACAAAACACTATTTAATGAGTTGGTGTGAGTGCCAGCGATCCACATGAGTTTTTATTTATGTTATTAACTGATTATCACAGTCACTATTCACCATAGTAGCTCACAAGTATATATATATATATATATATATATATATATATATATATATATATATATATATATATATATATATATATATATATATATATATATTACATTAAATTTTTTCTTGCTACAAAATATTCCGCAGTCAACTGTTAGTGGTATTATAACAAAGTTTTATGTTTTGGTAAATACCTGAAAAAAACACAAAAATTGTGCCTGTGTCCAAATATATAATGACAATTGCATGCTCCTAACTTTGTGGGAACAGTTTGTGGATGGCCCCTTCCTGTTCCAACATGACAGCACACCAGTGCACAAAGCAAGGTCCATAAAGACAGGGATGAGCAAGATTGAGGTACTCGACTGGCCTGCACAGAGTCCTGACCTCAACCCGATGGAACACCTTTGGGATGATATAGAGCAGTGACTGTGAGCCAGGCCTTCTCGTCCGACATCGGTGCTTGACCTCACAAATGCACATCTGGAAGAGTGGTCAAACATTCCCATAGACACACTCCTAAACCTTGTGGACAGCCTTCCTAGAAGAGTTGAAGCTGTTATAGCCGCAAAGTGAGGGCCAACTCAATATTGAACCCTACGGATGCAGACTCGGATGCATATTTTACATGTATATACAAACGGATGTTAGTCACTCTTTGTCATACCTGTAATACTTCTTGTTTAGCTCTGTTTCCTTAGTGAAACTTTCAGCTCACAGCGCAAATATCAGAGAATCTTGGAGAAGAGGAGCAGCTTGTTCAAGGTTTGTGTGCTTTGCTGCTGGGGATATGCATTTACTACAATGACAGCTCACTTGAAAACAATACCAAGTAAGTTTGTGTTTCCTACTCTTTTGTTCAAACAGTGCAAAACTATTAGTGTCATTTACAAGCAAACCTTAGCAAATTTGTCAAATTTTCTCATACGTTTGCTTTAACCACTTGAAGCCTTTTCTGACACTTTTTGTAACAATCAGTATTTTTTGCTAGCAATTTACTTAGATCCCCAAACACTATATGTGGTTTTTTTTTTTTTTTTTAGCGGAGACCCTAGAAAATAAAATGGTTGTCATTGCAAAAAAAAAAACAGAAAAACACTTTAATGAATTTTAATGCAAAAAATATATATAACCCATTTTTTTTGGTAAAATATAAAAGACAATGTAACGGCGAGTAAATAGAAATCTAACATGTCATGCTTTAAATTTGCGCATGCTTGTGCAATGTGGACAAACTACGACACTTAAAAATCTCCATAAGCGATGCTGTAAAAATCTTTACAAGTTTTGAGTTACAAAGGAGATCTAGAGCTAGAATTATTGCTCTCACTATAACGTTCGCGGCGATACCTCAGGTGTTGTGCGAACACCGTTTACATATGCTTTTCACCTCCGTGCTGAAGCACGGGGGGAGGGGGTGCTTTATTTTTATTTATTTTTTTTCTTAGTATTTATTTTAGTTACCTTTTCTTTAAAATTTATTTTTACACTGTCCTTTTTTTTTTTTTTTTGGATCACATTTAGGTATCACTTGTGTGTACTTTAACTTCTTCGCGACGACATTATGCACATATGTATCCTCTCGGCGGGTGGGACTTGACACTGAGGGGCCACATATATGTACCAAAATGTAAACAAAGCTGATCCAAGAGCGCGTGCCCTGCTCACTCCCAGCACAGTTACCAGCGCCTAACAGAAAGCAAGTAGCGATTGGGAGCTTTCTGATCATGTGATCGTTGTGAGAGCCAATCGCGGCGGTCACATGATCATAAACCCCGCCCTATGTTCCGGCATCAGAAACTCCTTAAAGGGCCAGAAGGCGCTGGCGTTAAGGGGTTCATTTAAATGTCCCTTGTGATACCAGTATAAGCACGACAGGTCCTCTTTATGGAGACATCTGTGTTTTTACAAGATCTCTCCTCTACCTTTGAAAGCATAAGATCAAAAATAATTCATATCACTCTTTCCAAAAGAAAAAAAAATGTTCTGTTTACATTTTCTCCAAGGAAAAGCGATGAGCATTTTGTCACTTCCGGTCTCCTAGACCATAGAGATTATTGGGGACATTCCAGCTAATACCACTCATGCTGCTTGTAAAAGTGATTCAGCAGTTAACCAGCTCTTCGGATCGCTTTTACAGGTTAGGGAATCTCCGACTGAAAATTTTAATGCCGGGATTATGGCTGACAGCTGCAGCAATGGCTCTGTTGTAACCGCTTGACCACAATAACGTATATGGACGTGATTATGTTAAGTGGTTTAAAAAAAAAAAGGCCCCCCCCCTCTTTTCCTAACTTTTGCGTGAATATCTGCCCCACCTGACAGCACTCAGGCCTTGCAATTGGCTGCTTAGACGCCCAAAGCTGTATTGTGATAGGCAGGGGACATAGTCAGGAGTATGGGCTTTTTTTACGTGGAGCAAGTACAACCAGCGTTTGCCAGCTATCCAGTGAACCTCCTACTTTTCCCTGAAGGGCAAAGTATAGTTTCACTGTAAAGCCAAGTCTGCCTAAAAACATCAGGCTAAATTACTAGTTTTTGTTTGTTGTTGTTATCCATGGTACTTCAGTAGAAAAAACTTCAATCTATATCCTAAGTGCTGTAATCCATAGTAAGCAATAGAAAGTCATGGTTTTGATGATGTGACTTCTGTAGCAGCACTACACCACAACGATTACAAAAGGGAGTGTCCTGTTTCATGAGAAGGATTCAGTACACATTTTTTCCCTTCAGTGTAGCTAAATGACTGGTGGTGTGGTCTGTTACTCCTTCTGCATTATGAAATACCAAAGCTTGAAAGGTCCTTGCTACCAGACACTTTTAGGTAACAACTTGGCCCTGTTTTATTTTTTTTTTTACCTTCTAATGTCAAAACATAAATAATGATTTGAGTTATGTGGACTAAGCATGTAAATAAAAATGACCTGTACCATGTATTATCCTCTTTGTTTCAGTGACTTGCATTTGCTTCTTTTTAGAGAAAAGTTAAAACAATTGATAGAGAAGAGAATCGGGAAAGAAATCTTTATAGAGAAACTAAGCTTTATCAATAAGCATGAATATTATTCAAAAGCTGCTCAAAAACCTCAGCCTATTTTCTCCAGTCCTGATCACATGATGTTTGATCATGAGTTCACGAAATTAGTCAAAGACCTAGAGGGTAAGACCCCCCTTAATTATGAATATATTCATTCCACACTGCCTTTATCTGTTGTGTTGGATATACTGTATATACAGAAACGGCAAAAATAATACATGAATTTAAATTGATGTCATCTGGGCTGTATCAGTTTTTAGTGCAATATGTGCTGTTTTTATTTTATTTTGGTCTATGTTGTGTGTCCTCTAGATGTATACAGTATGTTGCCCTTCTGTAAGTGTTTTTTTTTTTTCTGGGGGAGATTATTGTATTTTCTAAAATGTCATATATTTTTATATTTTCCTGTAGCTGTCATCATAAAAGCGATCTACAAATCTAGTGAAGAGGATAAGAAAGAGGAAGAGGTTAAAAAATCTCTGGAACAGCATGATAACATTGTATCGCACTACAAAAATGTAATCCGGGAACAGGTAAAAAGAAAATAAATTAAAAATAATGGCATTATTAGCATTATCACAGTGTATATGTTGTTAATGAAGAGAGATATATTACACATTCAACACATTGAAACAGTCCTACTGATGGGCCAGTCACTCCCACCCTCTTTAGTCAAAAAAGACATGACTGAGTGTGGCAAGGGTTTCAGCATAAGTATTAAGGCTTCATGCAAACTAGCTTAAAAAACTTTCCTTGCAGCAGCATTTAGGTTTTTTTTTCTGCCTCTAGAAGCATTATTTTCTTGTCCCGCCTTCACCCCTGCCCCATGTGAGTGAGTATAGGGTACATAGTACCCCTACACATTCACAGAAAAAAAAGGATTGGTGTAATTAGACAGCCAGTTTTAACAAGTCGTTTATTAAAACATTTTTAAAATTTTCCTCCAGTGTAGATCCATCATCAAGCACAATGAACGGCACTCCACCAACCTGCTTAAAAGAAAAAAAAAAAGCTCTGTACTTGACACTGGCTCCCGCTGACTAACCGCTCCACTTCGTACCTGCCTCTAAATAAACTAAGGGTGCAGGCAAGGGCATATTTACCACAAGACAAACAAGGCATTTGCCTAGGGTGGCATTTTTTAGGGTGGCATATTTTTATGCTGCATATGTTCCCAGAAGAAGGAACATACAGCATGGGGACCAGGTGGGATCTGAGAGGGGATGCTTGATGGTGTATGCAGAGCCTGGCTTTCATTCCCAGGGCTCTCTCGGGTGGGGATAGGGCAGGAGTGTTGTTGGTCAGTGTCAGGCTATCTCGGTGGGGGGGTCTGGTGTTGGTCAGTGTCAGGCTCCCTCTGCCGGGGAGGGGGGACGTCCGATTTCTGTGTTGCCTAGGGCAGCACAAAACCTAAATACGCCACTGGGTGCAGGGTCACCTTTTGGGGGCATGTTGAGGGTACGTGGCCTGGTATGGTTAAGGAGAGGATAAGCTCCCCCACCTTTCCTGGCCTACCGAGCTGTATGCTCTGATAAGGGTCTGGTATGGATTTGGGGAGAGAGACAAAGAGCGGTTTTGTTTTTTTTTTTGTTTTTTCAGATCTAAGGGCCTGATATAATTTTAGACATGCAGGCCAAACGGTTTTCTTTATATGGGAATCCCGCTGACAGCTCATGAGTCATCGGTTGTTAAGGACGCAGGTGGCTGCCTGCTCCTTAACAACCTGCATTTCACTGCTAAACACCGGCACAAAAACTGTTTTTTTTCGTCATTTTTTTAAAGCTCCTAGTGTTCATGGAGCCTAAGCATAGTAACACCGTAATAAAAAAAAAAAAAAATTGTAGCACATTAGTCGTATCAAAATAATACTGCTTAAATATTGCAGTCATCTAAAGTTTCTGTATATTGGAAAACAGATAATTGTCCCAACAATAATTAAGGCCAATGAACATTTTGGCATTAGGCTGATATATCCAGTGCTTCAGAGACCTGTTCTATATATTTTCTAGCTTTCCAATGCTGCATCTTACATATTGTTCATTACAAACTTTGCAATCCCTGCCAGGCAGCATCACAGCCTTATACCTGTGACTTCTACTGTGGTAGCACAGCTTGGAGAGGCATATTGGTCAAAACAGTCCTCCAGCTGGCCAAGTAAGGAGCAGCATATTAAGAATATTTCCTGTCAACACATGCACTACAGCACACCTGATTGGCTTCTAGATCTGGCCCCTTCTGATATGAGATCAGTACAGTGGATTTCAGAAACCTGATATGTACACAATACATTTAATGTTTTTATGATTGTATAACTTTTTTTTTTCTTTTTTTTTTATACAATATCTGAAGTTCATCTTGAACCTGGGAGTTTGCTGTTTCCATTAAAGTGATTGTAAAGCCTCTTCTTTTTTTCTCAGAATAATGAACATGTTATACTTCCCTGCTCTGTGTAATGGTTTTGCACAGAGCGACCCTGAACTTCCACTTCTGGGGCCCCCACCAATGATCTTGGCTCCTCCTCTTTTCTGAGTGCCCCCATAGCATGCTGCTTGCTATGGTATCACTTGTGCAGGCTTGATCCTGAGCCAGGCTCTTTGCATCTATAGACACACAGCCTGCCCCCTCCTCGCAGGATTTGACTGACAGCAGCAGGAGCCAATGTGTGCCACTGCTGCCGAGTCTCCTGTGAGAAATTAAAGGGGAGAAGGGCTGCTGCAGACTGGCACAGCTCTGGATTAAAATCGGGCTCTTTTAAGTGTTTAAGTGGGTACTGGTGGGGGAGCAACCTTTTTCCTGTATAACCATTTTAATTTGCAGACCTTAACCACAGCAATCTCTCTAATGGTTGATAGGTAACAATTTCTTGTTAACATACAATTTGCAGGACATTCAGCTAGAGGAATTGAAGCAGTCTGTTTCTTCTTTACAAGCTAAAAATGAACAGTTCCAAACTACAGTCTCACAGCAGCTTGCCCAAATTCAGCAACACAAGGATCAGTACAATCTTCTCAAGGTACAGCTAGGTATGAGAGCATTTTATCTCTTCTATTATTTGTTCCAGATCTGTTGGTACCTGTAGGTACAAGTAAACAAACAGACGCTACTACCACTTTAAAGGATAAGTTCCAAAAAGAAAAATCCCTCTCAAACATGGTACTTTTAAGGCGCAAACTGTGCATGCGTTATAAAATGATAAAACAAGCTTTATTGTACAAAATTACAATAATCACAAAACATGGAGTAAGCAATATATTATTGACTAGCGTGTGTTATGTTACTTATTGCAACAGTATATTTTATGAATGTATGTTTTACTTCAGTTTGTTATATCCTATAAACAGGCACCTCACCTCTGAAAAGAGTTTTTTTTTTTTTTTTTTGTCTCGAAACACATCGGTTCCTTTCCTATTCATCAATGCAACTCTGCCTCTGCTGAGTGGGCAATCCATGCAAACTAAGATTGATGTAGAAAAATATATGACCACTTACTCCATGTTTTATGATTTTTATGTCATTGTGTACATGCCTGTTTTATCATTTTAAAAGGCATGCACAGTTTGTGCCTTAAAAGTCCCATCTTTAGGAGTGTTTGTTCTGGTTGTTCACCTTTTGTAACAAGTTACATGTTACACCCGTACTCAGGGTGTAATATGTTACTGTTACAACAGCCCCCCAATCCCCCATTGACAGCAGGCGGGGATCCCCTCCCCGCACTCACTGTCACACTTGCAGGACTCTGCTTACGCAGCCATGTCATTCATTCACAGAATTCTGTGAAGGGAGAGCAACGACTATTATTAGCCATTGCGTCTGACCGCTTGTAGTTCTCAGTGAACTACCAGGACACTGATGAGCGCTCTAGGTAGTTCATTCATGCTTCCTCTCATTCCTTAACTTCTTGCCCATACAAGGTACAGGCAGACGGCTACATTGACAGTCTGCAGGATCCTGAGATAGCACCAGTGATCTGCTGAATGTGGATGCAATGCTTTACAGGCTCCTAGTAAAAAGAAAAATAATAATAAATACACTTTTTTTTTTTTTTAAGCTGAAAAAAAAATGTGCATTTATTTATTTTTTTTATTTACAAAGGTGAATTTGTCCTTTTCAAGTTGAGCTCCAGCTAAAGCATTTTTTTTTATATAAAGAGTGAAGGACCTTTTCACTAACCTTCAGCTTTATGGACATTTTTGCATTTGTTACACAACATGTTCTATAGTAGAGTAAGTGACTTCATTTGCTTGTTTATACATAGGAAAAGATAACCAGCATCATAATGCCCACAATAGCAGTGCACAGGTAAATGGTTTCCAACCTGAAGAGGTTAGTCGATTAAAAGAGGAAATTGAAGAATTGAAGAAACAACAGGACTTACTGAAAGGAGAGCTCTCAGAGAAAAATACCCTCATACAGAATCTGGTAAGATTAATGCATTGATTTATGTACTTATTGTTGAGTGTAGTTTTGCCTGTCACTGTTTACACATTTCACAATGTCATCCAAATAGAGCTGTTTATCTGTGTATGAATAAGCAACAAAGGGCTGATACTAACATTTCAACAATGATTTGTGGAAAGGTTTCTTCGCTGATGTGTTTGATGATCACAACAAGCAATAAATAATGTTTTAAAACTGCCACTGGTCAAAATTACAAGGGTGTGTTTTTTGCCTAAACCTTGAATGTAAAATAATCTTGCAAGACAACATCAAAAAACAAAGTTGTACTTTTCCTCAAAAATATATATAAAAATTAATCTGACATCACACATAATGACAAATATATTGCCAAATCGACAGTTGCACTGTAAATATTGGTCTGACCATCAAGAGTAAAAAAATCTGTAGTCTGTAAGTTAGTAAAAATACATTAATGCCTTTCCTTGAAAAGAAAAAAAAAATACAAAAAACCCCAAAAAATATCTGATTCAACAACAAAGACTGACACACAAGACATACATCTCAGATTCTTCAGTTTATTCCTAAATACAAATCATGTGGCTCACATACATCCATTGCACAGTACTAATCACAGAAATGGAAACGTAACGGAGTTGCATAGTATAGACGTAGACTCTGAGTTACAGTCAAACGTTTACTTAAAACTTTAGCTCGACCTGTCATTCATAAAAGGAAGTCAGGTAGTCCAAAATGGTTTTAGAATCTTGTTGTCCTTTACCACATATTTAGGGTTAAATTGCCTTGTGACAAGTTATATTTATGCACCTATAGAATGCTGAAAATTATAAGAGTCTAAATCTCGGGTATTTTTGTAATTGTCTCTGTGATATTAAAGAGGTCAGTGCTACGAATGGGAAAGACATCCATGGGTTCCATAGTTGTTCAGATTTTGGGGGGCAATTCCTGTGCTCAAAAAGTAGCTCTTCTGTGGTTGGGGTGATGTTGACCTGTTTTCTCCATTCCCTCTACTGTTGGTGGATTGAGGATATCTTTTTCTGGCCGACCATTTTAAGTGTCAAAAATAATAATCTGATGATTGGAGCATAGATATCTGAGAGCATAAATTCCTAATCTAACATATCTAACAGATATATACCTGGGTCTAATGGTATTATAACCTAATAAATGGAGGTTTTTGAGGCCTTTTTAAAGTGATACTAAACACTCACTGTTTTATTTTATTTTCATTATCCCTTCTATTTCTGTATGTAGATGATGGCACTGTAATTATTTTAATGAAAAAAAAATGTAAGTGCCTTTTTTTCTAATCAATATACAGCTGTCACATGACCCAACTCTTTCCCAGCCTGTTTGTAGGGAAATCGTGGCAGGAGGAGCTTCTAGTCCTTTTTTGAACATTGATTGGCAACAGAGTTCAAAAAATAAATAAATAAATAAACGGTTTTAAATTGTCATACAAATATATATATTTAAAATCAAATCTTTATTATTTTTAGCAATAACATGGTGCCAGTGGATTTCTGCCAGTCACAGGCTGTGTCACGCTCTCCAGTCTGTCTTAGAATAACAGGGAGGTGAAGCCTCCAACAATTAGGATGCAATATCCCACCCCATTGTGTTTAGCTGGTTAATGGGTATGGAGGAAGGAGGGAGAGGGCTGCCATTTACCACTGTGTATACACCCATATGTGTGACTCTATAGTCACATGGGCTGCTCAGATGTGATAGGGAGAAAATGCTTAGGATAGAAATACACTGCAAACTGAGCATTTGCAGTAGCTGCCAACACTGCTCTGCAAAATCCCCAACTGCAGTGGGGGCATGGACAGGAGGGTGAGATAAAGAACAGCAGGATCAACCGGGTATTTTTTGCAGAATACAGAAAATGAATCCCTTAGTGACTGAATGAGCATTAACAGTATGCAATACAGCATTTATTAAGGGTTTTAACCACTTCAGTACTGGGCACTTTCACCCCCTTTTTGTCCAGGCCAATTTCAGCTTTCACTGCTGTGGCATTGAATGACAGCTGTGCAGTCATGCAGCATTGTAGCCAAATGTATGAAAAAAGCATTAACATTTCAAGTAGAGCTTTCTTTTTGTGACATTTGATCACCATTGGGTTTTTTTCTGTTTTTTTAAACACAAAAGAAAAAAAGACCAAAACGTTTTGAAAAACGTTTTCTTCATTTTTGTTATAAAATTTTGCAGTAATTTTTCTTCACTGATCGGTGCTGATGAAGGTGCACTGATAGGCTGCACTGATGGCCACTGATGAAGAGGCACTGATAAGGCTGCACTGATAATCGGGGCCCTCGTGATCAATGCCCTGATTATCAGTGTAAACATCCCGTCACAGGAAAGCCAGTTGTCAGCTTTCCTTGTCTCAGCGCTGTCGCAGTGCTCAAGAAAGGAAATGGTAAAGAGCCGTCATATGGCTCTTTATCCTGATCGGCGATACGCTGTGTCCGAGTGATGCGCACCAAGAATAGGAGGAAGTCATATGGTGTCCTTCCATAACTAGAGCAGTCCCGCCCGGTCGTCATTGTACAATAGGCCGGGCGGGAACCAGTTAATGTGCGTTTAATGACATGTTACGTATAAGTAAAGCTGTCTAAAATGTAAAAACTTGCTTGGTTGTATCTGTTTATATTGATAAGCATCCCAAGGTAACTATGACATCCATCTTTATTTATGTGTATGCTGTGATATGAGGTAGCTTTAAAATGATATTGATAAGCATCCCAAGGTACAGTGGGGCAAAAAAGTATTTAGTCAGCCACCAATTGTGCAAGTTCTCCCACTTAAAAAGATGAGAGAGGCCTGTAACTGGCATCATAGGTAGACCTCAACTATGAGAGACAAAATGAGAAAAAAAAATCCAGACAATCACATTGGCTGATTTGGAAAGAATTTATTTGCAAATTATGGTGGAAAATAAGTATTTGGTCAATATCAAAAGTTCATCTCATACTTTGTTATATATCCTTTGTTGGCAATGACAGAGGTCAAACGTTTCCTGTAAGTCTTCACAAGGTTGGCACACACTTTTGCTGGTATGTTGGCCCATTCCTCCATGCAGATCTCCTCTAGAGCAGTTATGTTTTGGGGCTGTCGCTGGGCAACATGGACTTTCAACTCCCTCCAAAGGTTTTCTATGGGGTTGAGATCTGGAGACTGGCTAGGCCACTCCAGGACCTTGAAATGCTTCTTACAAAGCCACTCCTTCGTTGCCCGGGCGGTATGTTTGGGATCATTGTCATGTTGGAAGACCCAGCCACGTTTCATCTTCAATGCCCTTGCTGATGGAAGGTTTGCACTCAAAATCTCACGATACATGGCCCCATTCATTCTGTCTTGTACATGGATCAGTCGTCCTGGTCCCTTTGTGGAGAAACAGCCCCAAAGCATGATGTTGCCACCCCCATGCTTCACAGTAGGTATGGTGTTCTTTGGATGCAACTCAGCATTCTCTCTCCTCCAAACACGATGAGTTGTGTTTCTACCAAACAGTTCTATTTTGGTTTCATCTGACCGTATGACATTCTCCCAATCCTCTTCTGGATCATCCAAATGCTCTCTAGCAAACTTCAGATGGGCCCGGACATGTACTGGCTTAAGCAGGGGGACACATCTGGAACTGCAGGATCTGAGTCCCTGGCGGCGTAGTGTGTTACTGATGGTAGCCTTTGTTACGTTGGTCCCAGCTCTCTGCAGGTCATTCACTAGGTCCCCCCGTGTGGTCCTGGGATTTTTGCTCACTGTTCTTGTGATCATTTTGACCCCACGGGGTGAGATCTTGCGTGGAGCCCCAGATCGAGGGAGATTATCAGTGGTCTTGTATGTCTTCCATTTTCTAATTATTGCTCCCACAGTTGATTTGTTCACACCAAGCTGCTTGCCTATTGCAGATTCAGTCTTCCCAGCCTGGTGCCAGTCTACAATTTTGTTTCTGGTGTCCTTCGACAGCTCTTTGGTCTTCACCATAGTGGAGTTTGGAGTGTGACTGTTTGAGGTTGTGGACAGGTGTCTTTTATACTGATAACAAGTTCAAACAGGTGCCATTGATACAGGTAATGAGTGCAGGACAGAGGAGCCTCTTAAAGAAGAAGGTACAGGTCTGTGAGAGCCAGAAATCTTGCTTGTTTGTAGGTGACCAAATACTTATTTCCACCATAATTTGCAAATAAATTCTTTCTAAATCAGCCAATGTGATTGTCTGGATTTTTTTTCTCATTTTGTCTCTCATAGTTGAGGTCTACCTATGATGCCAATTACAGGCCTCTCTCATCTTTTTAAGTGGGAGAACTTGCAAAATTGGTGGCTGACTAAATACTTGTTTGCCCCACTGTAACTATGAAGTCCATCTTTATTTATGTATATGCTGTGATATGAGGTAGCTTTGGAATGACAGCCAGCCAGATTGGTAAAAGCAACCAGTTTGTTTATTTGAAAAAACATAAATCGATTTCGTCAGCAAAAACAAGTTACCAGTCCAAAGTCCTGGTACCACAAAACTATACAGCAGACTCATGGTCCATCTTTTGGTCATGATCTGGGGTCAGAGCTCCTCTGTGGTAAGGGTGCCAGACAGGCCACGGGGGGGTGGTCAGCAACCGATGTCTGTTTGTCCGAGAGCTCATACTTCACTCACAGCTTGTGAGCCTCTCTCTCCAGTCTACTTCCCTGACAAAGGTACTGGACCTTTCCTGCTGCCTTTTCAAGACTTCCCCTAGCTGAGGCTTAACCCCCTTCAAGACCAGCAATGTCTCCAAAACTATTCCCCCATTCAGGGACCACAACTGAAATATTGGGGTGATGTACCTGCCGTTCAGGACACACATTCCCGGTGTCCTGTATGACATGTATATGATTTGTGGTTATCCTTTTACGCATAATCATTCCTAGCATGTTTAAATGTGGGATTAGAATAATGAAATCTGAATATGTAACTCATTGTTATCTCTGCCAAGTAGTGATGCCCAGCTTGTTCATGATGTTCTTAATTTTTTCTTTAGAGCAGTCAGGCTGGTAGTCATACAGATCAAGTGACTGGAGGATCTGAACAAGTTGCAGATCTACAAAAGGTATTTTCTCTTTGATGCATGCATCTACAAACATTGTTTCAATGCAGGGCAGCTTACCTGTTTTTTTTTTTTAACTTTATTCAAATGTTGCAAAGTTTATTTCTATCATTTCAGGTTTGCTACTGTTGCACTGTGTAACAAATGTAGCATGTCTGCATTTTTACGCAATGCGCTGCAACCTATTAAAGGCAGTTTTGTGGTGTGAATAGAGCACATAAAAAAATGGGTGTTTTCTTTGTGCCCTTGCATTGAGCCTTCAATGAGCCGTGCAGATCTGCACAGCTCAATTGAAATAGCGTGAATGAGTTTTTAGTGAAAAAAGTAGTAGTAGTATTGTGTCTGTTTAAAATGGCCACGTAGCATAATCCAATGGTCATTTTGAAAATAATACCTTGTATTTGTTTGCCTATTTTTGGGGGAAATTGGTACACTTACAATTGTAAAATTTTCAGACTCCATTCACACTGTCACCTGACCCTTCATTCCAACAAATTGTAACATATTTTATGCATGTTATTTACTTGTAAAAGCCTCCGTTTGCATATCAGAGAACTAGTCCAGGAAGCATATTATATAACTTGGTAAGGGCTGGAGGGTGTAAACACCTACCACCATTGTCCTTATCCATATTTGTTCATCCTCAAGTTTTCATTCCCAGAACTACTCTGTACGTCCATGATTTTCCCTATTGCACCCCCCTGCCTACAATCTTGACATCTGTTCTTTAGTTGACTTATCGTTTAAGTTGCAATGTTTGTTGCCTTGTTGAAGACGTGACAAAAGCAATTCTGTCCCAGCTGGTATTTTGTCAAGGTGTGCTAACTAAGTTAGGCTTATGATTAAACATTTGTTTTAGTAATAATTCTTAGTATTACAGGTATTTACATAGTGACGTCAATTTTACACAGTGCTTTACATATACTGTGTTGCACAGTCATATCAGATCTAATTATATTCAAATAACAGGGAAATGTAATTTGTTTTTGTTTTTTTTGTTTTGTTTTCATTTTATTGCAGGATATAGAAACTCTAAGATCTCAGTTATTTGTTCAGTCATCTGAAATCAACAGACTACAAACTGAAAGAATGGAACTCCTTCAAAAAACAGAAGCAAATGTTAGTAGTCTGTATCTAAATTTGTTCAAAAACTAATGTGTGCATAGTGGTGGCATGTCTCAAATAACGTGAAGATGAATTCATGACTGGGTATACTTCCTAGTCCTTCTTGCCCAATTCATTTGTACTCTTTCTTCCATTACATTTACAATGTCTGCTAGCTGTACTCACACGCTAGACATTTTATTAAAGTTAGCTATAAACATTGGGTGATTGTCCATTTTGGACAAGTTTAGGTATGTGTTTTTTTTGGGGGTTTTTTTTTTTTTTTGCATATTTATATTGGTCCAGTTTCAGAAAAGCATACTCGGATTTGACAAGGTGCAGCTCATTATGTCACTGCCCTGCCTGCACCGCACTGGACCCAGACACTTCCACAGGAAGCGGCCAGGTATGGCACGTGCATACTTGCATTGGTCCAAGCTGTCCCAATATAACAATGTAAAAAAGTCCATACTTAGACTTCAGCTTTAATTATCATTCATTGCATATGCTTGCGTAAATGTGTATTTGATATAGTGGAGCTATGAGACAACATTGGCACTGATTTTGGGGAACACATTTGCTGTTAGCTGAAACAATGGCCAGACGTGTCTGTCTTCAATAGCCACAATAAAGGTCTCATGTCAGTGGTTGTCATAAGGATGAATGTGGTTTTCTGTTGTACATAGAGTAGACCCCTATTGCACCTTGGTGCCTTAAATCTGCCTATTCATTGACAAGTGCACACTGTGATGCGGACTGCTAGCTGATTTGGAATGTGTTGCTATGTGTTACTGTGCTTTGCAGATTACAGTTGATCATTACAACGCTTTACTGAATAAGCCTGTATGACATACATTTCTTGCTCAGTATGCCAATAGGAGGCCTTTACAGTACTTCTGTTTAGAAACAGCCTGAAAGCTATGTATCTGGTTGCCCTCAGGCAAAAAAGCAGAAATGTAAAAATTAGTGGTCAGAAGAAATGGTGATGAGGAAAAGGGTCAAATATGCATTTTAGTAGTATGGGTTTGACCATTTTGAACAGTGAACTAGGGTGTATGTCAAAAACAATCTTGGGGCCATTTGGTCAGGGGTAAAGTCTGTTCCGTGGGTAATTAATTTTTTATATGATGGGCAGTTGTCCTTCTTGTCAGTAGGTGATGTTATGACAAATTGTAGTTCATACACATCAAATTCAGAAACTAGTCAGTCAGGGCCAAAGAGAGAAAAAAATCCCTAGCTATCCAGCCACCTTCTTATGTCTTTGATCAGTGGCAGTGATGTCTATCTCTAGTTATTCTTTTGTTTATAGGCCTCCTATTTTTCTTCACAGGCTACAGCACCGTCTGGTGATAATGCACCTCAAGCTAAAAGTACTGAACTTGAAGAGAAAGTGGCAAGTTTATTGAAGGAGCTCAACAGCACTAAGGTTGGTTTTAAGTGCATTATTAGACTAGGTGCATGGGAGTTAGTTTTGTTACCTCTAGGGCAATAGCTTGCATGCTACCAACAACAGTTACTAAAAGTAGACAAGGACAATGGGAGAACTATAAATTAGATTATATTAACATATTCAAAATTATGTTAAATAGGAGTCAGTACACGCCATCATTTAAAGTGCCTCTGATTAACCCCAAATAAAGTTCAGCTTTTCTAGTAGGTCTTTCCTGACATTTTCTTAGTCGCAACCTACAGCAAAAGCCATGGTCCACAGAGAACTTCCAAAACATCAGAGGGATCTCATTGTTAAAAGGTCAGGAAAAGGGTACAAAAGAGTTTCCAAGGCATTAGATATACCATGGAACACAGTGAAGACAGTCATCATCAAGTGGGGAAAATATGGCGCAACAATGACATTACCAAGAACTGGACATCCCTCAAAAACTGATGAAAAGACGAGAAGAAAAACTGGTCTGGGAGGCTGCCAAGAGGACTACAGCAACATTAAATGAGCTGCAGGAATATCTGGCAAGTACTGGCTGTATGGTACATAAGACAACAATTTCCTGTATTCTTCATATGTCTGGGCTATGGGGTAGTGTGTCAAATTGGAAGCCTTTTTTTACAAAGAAAAACATCCAAGCCTGGCTAAAATTTGCCAAAACACATCTGAAGTCTCCCAAAAGCATGTGGGAAAATGTGTTATGGTCTGATGAAACCAAGGTTGAACTTTTTGGCCATAATTCCAAAAGATATGTTTGGAGCAAAAACAACACTGCACATCACCAAAAGAACACCATACCCACAGTGAAGCATGGTGGTGGCAGCATCATGCTTTGGGGCTGTTTTTCTTTAGCTTGAACTGGGACCTTAGTCAAGGTAGAGGGAATTATGAACAGTTCCAAATACCGGTCAATACTGGCACAAAACCTCCAGGCTTCTGCTAGAAAGCTGAAAATGAAGAGGAACTTCATCTTTCAGCATGACAACGACCCAAAGTATACATTCAAATCAACAAAGGAATGGCTTCACCAGAAGAAGATTAAAGTTTTGGAATGGCCCAGCCAGAGCCCAGACCTGAATCCGATCGAAAATCTGTGGGGTGATCTGAAGACGGCTGTGCACAGGAGATGCCCTCGCAATCTGACAGATTTGGAATGTTTTTGCAAGGAAGAGTGGGCAAATATTGCCAAGTCAAGATGTGCCATGCTGATAGTCTCATACCCAAAAAGACTGAATGCTTGAATCAAATCAAAAGGGGCTTCAACAAAGCATTAGTTTAAGGGTGTGCACACTTATGCAACCATATTATTTTAGTTTTTTATTTTTACTTCCCTCCACCTAAAATATTTCAGTTTGTTGTTCAACTAAGTTGTACAGTTTATAGGTTACATTAAAGGGGTAAAAAGTTCTGAGATGATTTATCTTTGTCTCATTTTTTTACATCACAATAACCTGACATTTTAACAGGGGTGTGTAGACTTTTTATATGCATTATACATATGCATGCGGGACCAACGCTTGCAGTCACCTTTTTGCTTTTATTTATTTATTTTACTAGTTCTCATTATTTATTACAGTTACTTATATATAGCACCGTCAATTTATGCAGCGCTTTACATATGCATTGTACATTCACATCAGTTCCTAACCCTCATGGAGCGTACAATCCTAAGGTCCCTAACTCACATTCATACATACACATACTAGGGCCAATTTAGACAGGAGCCAATTAATCTACCAGCATGTCTTTGGAGTGTGGAAGGAAACCGGAGTACCTGGAGGAAACTCACATAGGCACAGGGAGACCATGCAGACTCCAGGCAGGTAGTGTCATTTTTGGGATTCGAACCAATGATCCTAGTGCTACTAGGCAGAAGTGCTAACTTCTTAGCCACTGTGAATTTTTTTTCTCTTTATTGCTGTCAAAAGGAATGTAAACATCCGATAACAATAAGCAGTGACAGGTACTCTTTATGGTGAGATCTGGGGGAAAGATCTATTAGACCCCAGATGTCTCCTTTCTCTTCTGCCCTTAAAAACATCTGATCACACCAAGATCGGTGTGATCAGATGCTTTCCCAATTTAAAAATGGTGGTGTTTACATCCAGCTAAACCAGAAGTGACAAAATGTTCGGCGCTTCCACTTTCCTATACCATAGAGATGATTGGAGATCTTCAGGTCCCCGGTCACCTCTATGTTAAGTCACTGGAGCCACCAGCTTTGGTGCTGGGCTTCCCACTGAGACGGGAGAGCCCAGGGAGGTACTGGAGGAGAGCAGGAGGGGGGACCACCCTCCATCTCATATAAAAGCAATCCAGAGGCTAATTAGCCACTAGGATTGCTTTTATAAACAAAGAGAATCACTGGCTAAAATAATACCCGGGCTGATGCCCATAGCTGCAGGCATCATCCTGGTATACTGCTTGAAACTGCCAATGTACATGTACTTTAGGTGGTCTTCTAAGTGGATAAAGGAACTAAAAGATACTAGGCTAACAGGTAAGCTCTTTATAATGTCATGATATATAAATTGTAAAATACTAGTGAAGTCTTCTACATTGTCATTGTGTTTTAGGCTTTCAGTGACCTCTGCTTAAATAGCCTACCAAACCACAAGAGTACATTGTAAATGTACATTGCTATCTTACCACTGTGTAGAGGCAGATGCGTCCACACTAGAGACCAATAAATTGCTTTCCAAATGTAGCATGCTCTTACTGTGTTTTTGTTGTTACACGTTTTTAGGAAGAATTGAAAGCTGCATCTGAAGAGAGAGCCTCTCTAAAGCAGGAGCTAGACTCTGTTCGCAGCACAGCAGCCATTTTACAAGATGAAAAACTTAAGCTGACGCAGGAGGTCGGGGAATCTAAGAAGGAACAGGATGATCTTTTGATCCTCTTGGCTGATCAAGATCAAAAAATTCTTTCTCTAAAGAATAAGCTCAAAGAACTTGGAGAACAGGTACACATATGTTCCCTATTCATCATTTTTGTCCGTTTTTTTTTTTTTTTCTTAAGATTTCATTGGAAAAGAAAACATTACAACTGTTGGAGGCAGGATCCCCACATAAAACTCTAAAAGCAAATATACACAAATGGAGTAACCAGACCCTTAAAATACAGAAAAGTTCACAAGAAAAAAGTATGCTGTAAGGTGTCTAAATGAACAACTATAAAATAAGGGATGTAAGATAAATACAATGTATCAAAACATACCACAAGTGGGGAAACCAGAACAAAACATAGTGATCAAGAACCAAATTCCTGACGCTATTGGATGTTAAGGCAAATCAGTCAGTATGGTTTGTGCCAGGGAGTCTTTAATAAGGAAGTGTGGGGTGAGCAAAGGAAGAAGAAAAAAAGTATTTCCTTTATTATGTATCCTTTCCAATTGTGGGTGCTATGTAGAGAGGAGTTTGGGTGTCCTCTGAACTTACCTCCAGCCAAACTTCAAAACAACTTCAATAATTTATTTTTTTTTTAGTCCAAACAACTAGAGGCCCGGGTCATTCACTACCCAGTTGGAACACATGGGGCAGGATGCTGGTGACATCTGTGCCCTTATTCTGACACATGACCATAGTTAGACATTCAACTGCAGCCATGTGCAGGGGTGTCTTTGCCGCGAGGCAAACAAGGTGTTTGCCTAGGGCGGCACTTTTCAGGGGGGTGGCGAGGGAGGGACAAGCCGGAGCCAGTGAAGAGGAGGAGAGCGGCTGGAGAAGGAAGACAGCTGATCGGTAAATGTCGTGCGGCAAGGATCTGGCAGAGCAGATGGTGCTGCTGCAGCCAGGTGCAGTGAAGGAAATAAGTATTTGATCCCCTGCTGATTTTGAATTTTTTCCCACTCACAAAGAAATGATCAGTCTAAAAATCGAATGGTATTGTAACACTGAGAGATAGAATAGCACCAAATATTCAAAAAGAAATGCATGTCTAACAAATTATTCACTGATTTGCATGTTCATAGGGGAAATAAGTATTTGATCCCCTTCACAAAACATGACTTAGTACTTGGTGGCAAATCCCTTGTTGGCAATCACAGAGGTCAGACGTTTCCTGTAGTTGGCCACCAGGTTTGCACACATCTCAGGAGGGATTTTGGCCCACTCCTCTTGGCAGATTCTCTCCAAGTCATTAAGGTTTGGTGGCTGACGTTTGGCAACTCGAACTTTCAGCTCCCTCCACAGATTTTCAATCGGATTAAGGTCTGGAGACTGGCTAGGCCACTCCAGGACCTTAATGTGCTTCTTCTTGAGCCACTCCTTTGTTGCCTTGGCCTTGTGTTTTGGGTCATTGATATGCTGGAACACCCATCCACGACCCATTTTCAGTGCCCTGGCTGAGGGAAGAAATTTCTCACCCAAGATTTGATGGCACATTGCCCCGTCCATCGTCCCTTTTGATGCTGTGCAGTTGTCCCGTCCCCTTAGCAGAATAACACCCCCAAGGCAGAATGTTTCCACCACCATGTTTGACAGTTGGGATGGTGTTCTTGGGGTCATAGGCAGCATTCCTCCTCCTCCAAACACTGCGAGTTGAGTTGATGCCAAAGAGCTCGATTTGGTCTCATCTGACCACAACACTTTCAACCAGTCCTCCTCTGCATCATTCAGATGTTCAGTGGTAAACTTGAGACGGGCCTGGACATGATTTCTTGAGCAGAGGGACCTTGTGGGCACTGCAGGATTTCAATCCTTGTCGGCGTAGTGTGTTACAAATTTTTTTTTTCTGGTGACTGTGGTCCCAGCTGCCTGGAGATCATTGACAGGATCCTCACTTGTAGTTCTGGGATGATTCCTCACTGTTCTCATGATCATTGACACTCCACGAGGTGAGATCTTGCATGGTGCACCAGACCTGGGGAGACTGACCGTTGTTTTGTGTTTCTTCCGAATGATTGCATCAACTGTTGTCACCTTCTCACCAAGCTGCTTGGCGATAGTTTTGAAGCCCAGTCCAGCCTTGTGTAGATCTACAATCTTGTCCCTGACATCCTTGGACAGCTCTTTGGTATTTGCCATGGTGGAGAGTTTGGAATCTGATTGTTTGATTGCTCCTGTGGACAGTGTCTTTTATACAGGTAACAAAATGAGATTAGCAGCACTCCCTTTAAGAGACTGCTTCTAATCTTAGCTTGTTACCTGTATGAAAGACACCTGGTAGCCAGAAATCGTGATGAATGATAGGGGATCAAATACTTATTTCCCTCATGAACATGCAAATCAGTGCATAATTCGTTAGACATGCATTTCTTTTGAATTTTTTGTTGCTATTCTGTCTCAGTGTTACAATACACCTACCATTCGATTTTTAGACCGATTATTTCTTTATGAGTGGGCAAACATTCAAAATTAGCAGGGGATAAAATACTTATTTCCTTTACTGTATTCTGGCTGTGGACGGGGGAGGGAGGGGCCCTGGCTGGAGCAGGGGTCAGCGCAGCAATGCAAGCATCATTGATGTCAGTGGGAGGAATAGTGCCCCATCATAGATGTCACTCTCAGCAGTGATGGGGCACTATTCCTCCCAATGACACCAATGATGGGGCACTATTCCTCCCAATGACACCAATGATGGGGCACTATTCCTCCCAATGACACCAATGATGGGGCACTATTCCTCCCAATGACACAATGATGGGGCACTATTCCTCCCACTGACACCAATGATGGGGCACTATTCCTCCCACTGACACCAATGATGGGGCACTATTCCTCCCATTGACACCAATGATGGGGCACTATTCCTCCCACTGACATCAATGATGGGGCACTATTCCTCCCAATGACACCAATGATGGGGCACTATTCCTCCCAATGACACCAATGATGGGGCACTATTCCTCCCAATGACACAATGATGGGGCACTATTCCTCCCACTGACACCAATGATGGGGCACTATTCCTCCACTGACACCATGATGGGGCACTATTCCTCCCATTGACACCAATGATGGGGCACTATTCCTCCCACTGACATCAATGATGGGGCACTATTCTCCCACACTGACACCAATGATGGGGCACTATTCCTCCCACTGACACCAATGATGGGGCACTATTCCTCCCACTGACACCAATGATGGGGCACTATTCCTCCCACTGACACCAATGATGGGGCACTATTCCTCCCACTGACGCCAATGATGGGCACTTTTCCTCCCACTGATGCCAATGATGGGGCACTATTGCTCCCACACTGAAACCAATGATGGGGCACTATTGCTCCCACACTGACACCAGTGATGGGGCACTATTGCTCCCACACTGATACCAGTGATGGGGCACTATTGCTCCCACACTGACACCAGTGATGGGGCACTATTGCTCCCACACTGATACCAGTGATAGGGCACTATTGCTTCCACACTGACACCAGTGATGGGGCGCTATTGCTCCCACACTGACACCAATGATGGGGCGCTATTGCTCCCACACTGACACCAATGATGGGGCGCTATTGCTCCCACACTGACACCAATGATGGGGCGCTATTGCTCCCACACTGACACCAATGATGGGGCGCTATTGCTCCCACACTGACACCAATGATGGGGCGCTATTGCTCCCACACTGACACCAATGATGGGGCGCTATTGCTCCCACACTGACACCAATGATGGGGCGCTATTGCTCCCACACTGACACCAATGATGGGGCGCTATTGCTCCCACACTGACACCAATGATGGGGCGCTATTGCTCCCACACTGACACCAATGATGGGGCGCTATTGCTCCCACACTGACACCAATGATGGGGCGCTATTGCTCCCACACTGACACCAATGATGGGGCGCTATTGCTCCCACACTGACACCAATGATGGGGCGCTATTGCTCCCACACTGACACCAATGATGGGGCGCTATTGCTCCCACACTGACACCAATGATGGGGCGCTATTGCTCCCACACTGACACCAATGATGGGGCGCTATTGCTCCCACACTGACACCAATGATGGGGCGCTATTGCTCCCACACTGACACCAATGATGGGGCGCTATTGCTCCCACACTGACACCAATGATGGGGCGCTATTGCTCCCACACTGACACCAATGATGGGGCGCTATTGCTCCCACACTGACACCAATGATGGGGCGCTATTGCTCCCACACTGACACCAATGATGGGGCGCTATTGCTCCCACACTGACACCAATGATGGGGCGCTATTGCTCCCACACTGACACCAATGATGGGGCGCTATTGCTCCCACACTGACACCAATGATGGGGCGCTATTGCTCCCACACTGACACCAATGATGGGGCGCTATTGCTCCCACACTGACACCAATGATGGGGCGCTATTGCTCCCACACTGACACCAATGATGGGGCGCTATTGCTCCCACACTGACACCAATGATGGGGCGCTATTGCTCCCACACTGACACCAATGATGGGGCGCTATTGCTCCCACACTGACACCAATGATGGGGCGCTATTGCTCCCACACTGACACCAATGATGGGGCGCTATTGCTCCCACACTGACACCAATGATGGGGCGCTATTGCTCCCACACTGACACCAATGATGGGGCGCTATTGCTCCCACACTGACACCAATGATGGGGCGCTATTGCTCCCACTGACACTGACACCAATGATGGGGCGCTATTGCTCCCACACTGACACCAATGATGGGGCGCTATTGCTCCCACACTGACACCAATGATGGGGCGCTATTGCTCCCACACTGACACCAATGATGGGGCGCTATTGCTCCCACACTGACACCAATGATGGGGCGCTATTGCTCCCACACTGACACCAATGATGGGGCGCTATTGCTCCCACACTGACACCAATGATGGGGCGCTATTGCTCCCACACTGACACCAATGATGGGGCGCTATTGCTCCCACACTGACACCAATGATGGGGCGCTATTGCTCCCACACTGACATCAATGATGGGGCGCTATTGCTCCCACACTGACACCAATGATGGGGCGCTATTGCTCCCACACTGACACCAATGATGGGGCGCTATTGCTCCCGTACTGACACGAATGATGGGGCACCATCGTTGGTGTCGGTGGGAGGAATAATGCCCCATCATTGGTGTCGATGAACGGAATAATGCCCCATCATTGGTGTCGATGAAAGGAATAATGCCCCATCATTGGTGTCGATGAAAGGAATAATGCCCCATCATTGGTGTCGATGAAAGGAATAATGCCCCATCATTTGGTGTCGGTGTGAGAGCAATATTGCCCCATCATTGGTGTCGGTGTGGGAGCAATAGTGCCCCATCATTGGTGTCCGTGTGGGAGCAATAGTGCCGCCTCACTGCTGGGACACAGGAAAAAGATATTCTAGCTGGGCATTATACCCAAGAACTAGACAACATTAGTTTAGGTGTGAGGTAATGCAGTGTTGATGGGAGAATCCATCCTGCAGCAATGTTATGTTCTGCCTGTGGGGAGCCTTCCCTGCTGGCAGAACACAATGACCAATGCTGGCAACCATACCCTCCGGCAGTGATAAAAAAACAATCTGATAGGCTGGTTGTACTGAGGTCAATCAGCAGATTGACGTCAGTACAATCAGCCTGCCGTAGATGAATTGAAATTTGGGCAATTCAGCCGGAACAGTCTATGACCGGCTTAAGTCTGATGGTAGCCTTCTTTGAGGAAGCTGTTCAGTTTTTTCCAGTTTCACTCCAGAACTGCACAATGCAACATTTTGTTATGTGACAAGTTAATCAGATATTTAGACAGACAGATGCATTTGGCACCAACAACCAGGTTGTACCTGGTTTGTTGGCTCAGGAGTCCTACTCCGGAACTGGTGAAGTCCTTCCTTCCAATCTTTTGGAAGTTCCTCATGCCAGATACCAGCCTGTACCAGTCTCTTTGGGAACCCTATCAGTGCAGGGAATTGGACATCAGAGGTATCATTTTCTGATCAACATCCTGGAACTTTGGATGATTTTGCTGTCTGCAACTTTGGACTTTCCTGCTGGAGGGTCATCTGATCCAGATTCAAATGGAAGACACCATGGCAGTGGCATACATAACTGTGAGGAAGAACAAAAAAGAAAAAAGAAGCGCACCAACCTTGCGCATTACCTCAGTAACCAAAATTTATTAAATAAAAGAATGGTACTCACAAACAGCGAATAAAAACAGGCATGTCAGTCCTCAAAGGGACTTTAAACGCAAGATGCAAATGCGAATCCCATCATGGAGGAAGCCACTCAGTACAGCAGACGCGTTTCGAAGGACAAGCCTTCTTCTCAGAGCTGACTGGACTGAGAATGTGTGTTTCCCTTTTATGCCTCCAGACTGAAATAAGGCCCTCCCCAATAGGTTGGGCTGTCCTGGGCAGGGAGGAGGGGCCCGGGTGTCCACAAAATGCAATAAATAATCATCAAGAGTTCATAGAACCATATAGATAATAAACTTCAAAAGTCGGATGAAAATATATAAAATGTATACACATATATGGAATCAATTAATACAAATAAAATCATTCATAAATACAGCTTATAAATGCATAAATAAACAATAAAATAAAGAAATATAAACAAATAAATAAATATACATAAAATTTCACTAATTCATCCCTTCATTAGAAATATATATATATTGCCATAATTATCATCATTGCACTAACGATCAAAAATGCATACAATGAGTATAGGATAGATGAGGAACTCACACAAACTGAATGAACCATTCATGGCCAGTGATTTCAAAAAAATTGTTCCCACAAAGTGGGCAATATAGCCAAAGTATTTTTCTAAAAATGACAGCTGGACAGCTTTTTTTTTTTTTTTTTTAATATATATATTTCACATTTTTACACATTTTTAAATATGAATTAATCAATGATTTGTTACATATCAAGGTGCATGTTTCACATGTTTTGTATTGTGTAGAGACATACATATACATACATGTATATATTTTAGAAAAATACTCTCTTTATAGAAGTTTTGATGGTGGGATTGCAGCTATGGGGGTTGACATCTGTACCAACGATCCATTGAGCTTGGAGACACACACACATACACATCCGACCTGTTGGTGTGTATTAGATCGGGCAGCAGTAAGTGGGGGTCGGAGGAACTAGGACCCTGTGGCGATGTGACAGCGCTGCCTATGTGCGCGCAATGGCTAGTGGATACGAGCCATTGGGTTCGCGCTGCTACTGTCCTAGTGCGCATGCGCGGGATGGTCCGCGCATGCGCAGTAACTACCACGCCGTATCGGCGTGCGTTTCACAGGCAGATTCCATCTGCAACCACATCATGCAAGCAATATCTCCCTCTGCTGCCAAATAAACAACACACACCACCAAATAACAAACACAGGTAATATGAATCTTTCCTGAATATACTGTCTCCTCCCCACCATCTGTAAGAGTTATCCCCTGGTGGATTGCATGTATGCATGTTCACAAAAAAACTTTTTTTTTCATTTAGATTTTTATAGCAATATAGCTTTTTCTTCCAGCTGTCATTTTTAGCAAAATACTTTGGCTATATTGCCCACTTTGTGGGAACAATTTTGAAATCACTGGCCATGAATGGTTCATTCAGTTGTGTGAGTTCCTCATCTATCCTATACTCATTGTATGCATTTTTGATCGTTAGTGCAATGATGATAATTATGGCAATATATATATATATTTCTAATGAAGGGATGAATTAGTGAAATTTTATGTATATTTATTTATTTGTTTATATTTCTTTATTTTATTGTTTATTTATGCATTTATAAGCTGTATTTATGAATGATTATATTTGTATTAATTGATTCCATATATGTGTATACATTTTATATATTTTCATCCGACTTTTGAAGTTTATTATCTATATGGTTCTATGAACTCTTGATGATTATTTATTGCATTTTGTGGACACCCGGGCCCCTCCTCCCTGCCCAGGACAGCCCAACCTATTGGGGAGGGCCTTATTTCAGTCTGGAGGCATAAAAGGGAACACACATTCTCAGTCCAGTCAGCTCTGAGGAAGAAGGCTTGTCCTTCGAAATGCGTCAGCTGTACTGAGTGGCTTCCTCCATGATGGGATTCGCATTTGCATCTTGCGTTTAAAGTCCCTTTGAGGACTGACATGCCTGTTTTTATTCGCTGTTTGTGAGTACCATTCTTTTATTTAATAAATTTTGGTTACTGAGGTAATGCGCAAGGTTGGTGCGCTTCTTTTTTCTTTTTTTTCGTTCTTCCTCACAGTTCTGTTTGGGCTTCCCCAGCCTTGGTGTGGAGCTGCACGACCTTAACTATTTCGGTGGTCCCCTCCTTGCTTTTTTAGAGTCTGATTCCATCTACTTACCACCGGTCTGGGTCCCGGAGCGCAGGAGATATCGCATTTGGTTCAGTGGCATACATAACCCATCAGGGAGGAACCAGAAGTCTGGCCTTAGCAAAAGAGGTAGTTTTTATCCTGTCCCAGGCAGAACTTCACATTCCAGCCTCTAGGTGGACGTTTGACATCACGTTCTCCAACTCAGCTAGTCAGAGGAAGCTTTATAATCATTTAGAGTGCAACTCGGCCGACTCGATTTTGTTCCAGGTATGGGATGTGAAGTTTCCAGACCACTGCTGGAACACAGCGCTGTATACTGTATGTAACTACATACAGTTTACAGAGAACTCCCAGCTGCTGCATCTCTGCATGTCTTTTTCATGGCAGTGATGAGGGGGGGTGGAGAAGGAAGACCTGTGTGAAGGAGTCTGGTATAAACTGGCATATATCATAGAAGCTTAATTTTGGCTGAAATGCTTCCATTCTACAGTAAAGCAGTTTTCATCTTTGCATGTTACAGATAGGACAGGCTGGGTTTGACCAATTAGACTGACAGTGAGTACTAACATATTTCATATCTTCTAACAAGGTTGAAGATGAAGATGACTTGGAGTCCGTGGATGCAGCAGATGAAGATGATCTGGATGAAGATGATAGCAGGGATGACGACATGTAGAGACTTGTGTAAAAAAAAATCTAGTTGTCATTTTCCAGAGAAGTGAAATCTCTAGTAATTTCCCTAATTCAGCCTTTAGAGTGGCAATGCGAGAGGGTATGCACCATGGGAGATCTTTAAAGGTTAGAGCAGTTGCCATATGCATATACAGTCAAGTGAATTCAAGAAAAACAGGGCAGTTAGGAAAGTTACATTTTAAATATGGTCTTTTATGATTAAGGCAGTGTTATTTCAGCACCTTTGTGGTACTCCCTGTTTTCTTGTTTTCTTAGGGAAAACATTGCTGTGCAATGCCAGATCTTCAATGCTTGTGCAAATATCTTTGCCTATTTAGCTCTTCAGGTGCAGCCAGTTCACCTTGCTGCATGGAGGAACACTGTGGCATTAAAACAGAGCTGTGTTCCTTATAGCCAAACTCTATGCTCTCTTTTGAATCTGGAGGCAGAAAAGAACAGTGAGGAGTAGTAAAATAAAGCCTCTCTGTTCCTTTTCCTCTTAGATTATATGAATATGAGTGTGGGAGATGTCAGATGTGATGTTTAATGCCTTCACTCCTGCAACATCTACATGATTCACCTGTCAATCCAATGGCACCTTCTGCTGCAATGGTGGAGGCATCAGTGTTTGTAGTAATGCTAAATTCTCATTTCTTTTAGTTCCGCCAAGTTTTTTTTTTTTTTTTTTTTTTTTTTTTTTTATTTTAAGTGGACGAAGGGTTGGGAAATAAACATACCCCATTTACGATGTTTTCTTCAGTGGTTTACTTTGCTATGGAAGAGAAGACAAATTATATAATTTATTGGCTTAAGTTGGGCCATAGGAAATTAATAACAGATTGACATTTTAAAGAGTGAAAAATATGAATTACATTAATTTCATGTTTTACAATTAAAACAATGCATTTACTTACCACTTTTGGCTTTGCAGTTTTTCTTCTTTCTTCTTGTGTTTTTAAACACAACACTGCTGCTAGAACTGGAAAAACAAGCCATGACTTTAATACATCTGATATCTGTGATTTAATTTTTTTCCAAGTTTCCAGCAGCCAAAATTGGGATGTAAAAAAAATAAATGCTTTTCTACTGGTATTGGAGTGGTTTTACCACAGTGTTTTGCACTGCAGTTTTGACTGTGTGCCTATTCAAACTTAAAATTAGAAAAACTTTGGCAGGTTGCTCCAAATCATTCCGTTTCATCTGATCTTTTTGAGATTGAAAGCTGATGGAAAACTTCCAAAACTACAGTGCCTTGAAAAAGTATTCATACCCCTGCAATTTTCCACATTTTGTCATGTTACAACCAAAAATGTAAATGTATTTTATTGAGATTTTATGTGATATACCAACACAAAGAGGCATATAATTGTGAAGTGAAAGGAAAATTATAAATGGTTTTCAAAATGTTTTACAAATATCTGAAAAGTGTGGTGTGTATTTGTGTTCGGCTGTGATACCCCCAACTAAAATCTAGTGGAACCCATTGTCTTCCGAAGTCACCTAATTAGTAAATAGAGTCCACCTGTATGTAATTTAATCTCATAAGTACAGCTGTTCTGTGAAGCCCTCAGTGGTTTGTTAGAGAACATTAGTGAACAAACAGCATCATAAAGGCCAAGGAACACACCAGACAGGTCAGGGATAAACTTGTGGAGATGTTTAAAGCAGGGTTAGGTTATTAAAAAAGTATCCCAAGCTTTAAACATCTCACGGAGCACTGTTCAATCCATCATCTGAAAATGGAAATTGTATGGCACAACTGCAAACCTACCAAGACATGGCCATCCACCTAAACTGACAGGTCGGGCAAGGAGAGCATTAATCAAAGAAGCTTCCAAGAGGCCCATGGTAACTCTGGAGGAGCTGCAGAGATCCACAACTCAGGTGGGAGAATCTGTCTAGTCTGTGCACTCCACAAATCTGGCCTTTTTGGAAGAGTGTCAAGAAGAAAGCCAATGTTGAGAGACATAAGAAGTTCCATTTGCGAGAAGCCATGGGGGGGGGGGGGGGGGGACACAGCAAACGTGGAAGAAAGTGCTCTGGTCAGATAAGACCAAAATTTACATTTTTGGCCTAAAAGGAAAACGCTATGTGTGGCTGAAAAAACTGACACTGCACCCTGAACACACCACCGTGAAACTTGATGTCAGCACCATGTTATGGGGATGCTTTTTTCAGTAGGGACAGGGAAGCTGGTCAGAGTTGACGAGATGATGTAGTAGTATTATTATTATACAGTATTTATATAGCGCCAACAGTTTGCTCAGCGCTGTACATTATAATGGGAGACAGTACACGAGACAGCACAGTAACAATACAATACACGAGGGGTTCGAGGGCCCTGCTTCTTGGAGCTGTATGGAGCCAGATACAGGGCAATCTTAGAAGAAAACCTGTTATAGTCGGCAAAAAACTTGAGACTGGAGCGGATTTTCACCTTCAAGCAGGAAAACGACCATAAACATACAGCCAGAGCTACAATGGAATGGTTTAGATTAAAGCATACCCATGTGTTAGAATGGCCCAGTCAAAGTCCAGACCTACATCCAATTTAGAATCTGTGGCAAGACTTGAAAATTGCTGTTCACAGATGCTTTCCATCCAATCTGACAGAGCTTGAGCTATTTTGCAAAAAAGAATGGGCAAAAAGTTCACTCTCCATATGTGCAAAGCTGGTAGAGAGATACCCAAAAAGACTTGCAGCTGCAAGTTCAGTGAAAGGTGGTTCTACATAGTATTGACTCAGGGGGGCTGAATACAAATGCACACCACACTCTTCACATATTTATTTGTAAACAATTTAAAAAAACCATTGGTAGGATCAATTTCTGTCTGTCTGTGGCCCGACCTGTCCTCGCTTATCTCTATCACCGGATCCGGGAGAAGAAATAAAGCTCCAGACACCGAAGTGTAAAATTAGTATTTCTAAAAGTTTAATACACAGCAAGAGATGTTATTCAGAAACTCAATAGGCATTGTTTAATCAGGTTAAACAATGAAACATTACAGTATATTCTTATCAGTATAGATATGTGAAAAACAGAAACTTCAATAGCAGAGGGGTACTATATAAGGTGAATCCATTTACACAGTAATGAGAGTACAATTGAAAAACAAAATTAATTGCTTAAATATCTAGAAATGCAGGCATTATACAAAATGGATGCCAGTTTAAAGATATATCTCCTTACAGTTCCTCTCTTGTCACAAGTGACAACACAGCAAATTTCACAATTATTTCCAATATGAATCTGGGTTCTTTAAAAACTTGTCAGCAATGCACATGCAATGTTTTAGCAACAGCATAGAACACAAATTTTAGTAAAAGACGTAACAAAATTAGCATGCCTACTTTCTTAAACCATCCAAAAAAAAAATTCCAAAATTTCCCATTCCCAACCCTTTAAAAGGGTTCCAGCCATCCTCGGCTATGGATTGAGCTCGAGCTTGTAAAGCATTTACCTGGGCTCTATGATTCTCAGTGACTTCATATTAATCTGGAATCTCAGCAGATTTGTTACATATCCATGTACGACACTCATAGTCAATAATAGGCTCACTTAGCCCGGTCAATGCTGCACCCATTTGTTCTATTTTTGTTTTATTTATGAGCACCTGTTTCCTCAATGCAACACTCAAAAAAACATTCAAGTTCAACATTCAAAAGGCCCACCTCTAGTTGTGTTTCCTATATATTTTTTTTTCATCTATTCTTAGTGGTATTTACTTGTACAAAGTTACCATCCTCAACTATCTTCCCAGTAACATTAAGTTTAGTCTTGCTACAAACTTCTTTCCTTTCATTTGATGCCTAAATTAAAACACCACTCAGGTTCCATCATAACTCTCAACACTTCAAATTTAGGCCTTTCTAGTAACATTCGTAAGGGTAATACTCAGATTACCAATAAACATTGATGTCACATGTTTTTGGAGCAGCATACAAAGGAATGTTCATTGTTTCAGGGTCGAGCATACTGCAAACCCAACAGCTCCCAAATCCCGAGAGCTTGGCATACCTCTACTTAAATTTTAACAGTGACATATGTTCAGTCAATGATCTTTTCTGCTCCTTTTTTATTAGTTTAGGGTCATCCACAATCTCAGTGCTGTGGCCACAAATTGGCGGCCATTATTCTGGGTGATAGTAGTAGTGACTAGCCCAGTAGGCCACTTAAAAAGTTATCACTGAGAGACAACCAATCAAAAGAAAGTTCTTCCAGGCCATCTCTGGATGAAGCAGCATCCTGAAGGTTGCAGGGTGTTCATAGGACTGTCTACTTTCCTTGTTCCGTCTGCTGCACCTGTTTCTTTGGAGGTTCCAGGATCCTCTTTACTCTAGAAGCATGTATCCAGATGTTGGAATCAGCAGTCAGAACAGCAGTTCTCATCACAGCTGTCACTATGGTCGGTTCCCCATACGGTGGATCTATGGTCTTGTGTCTATGAAGTTCCTTTCCACTACCCGATCTCCTGGCTTGTATGGGTGGGTTGGATCATCTGAGGGAAAAAAAAATGAGGAGACATCACCGTATACACGATTCAACACCCTAATCAAATCCTGGACATATCTCTGCTCGATTAATTCTAAATCAACTGGCATAACTACCAAACGGCCTCTTGTCCAGGGGGTGTGGGGAATGGCCTGCTCATAAGAATTTCAAAAGGCAAAGTTTAGTGACTTTATTAGTTGTCATCTGCATCTCAGCCAGAACAGCTGGCAGGTAGACCTCCCATCCCTTAAATGTCCCACCTGTTGCCTTCCTTAGTTTCTTCCTTCAGGGTCCTGTTTACCCATTCTACCTGAGCAGAACTCTGTGGGTGGTAGGGTATATGAAACCAGTCAATACTCATAATTTTGGCTACCTGTTGTGTAACCGTTGAGGTAAATGCTGGTCCTTTGTCTGAGTCTATACTCACCGGGCATCCCCATCGAGGGAAGACTTCCTTTGCAAAGAATCAACCTCAATTTCCTATACCATGGAACTGTGCACTGTGACGTGG